CCGTCGCCATTCTCCCGCCAACCAACATCTCCACCAAGACAATCAGCCATCGCTCGTTTACCTCTTTTTAAAACCTGGTCATGTTATTTCCGTGTTCCACGATGTCTCGTACACTTCCCCCCTCGCCGCTAAGTTTAAAACACATGCACGCGCCAGCATGTGGACCATGCCGTATCGCAGCCCCCTCCGGTGCCGTACCGGGCATCCCCCCCTGCCGTACCCTTATAACCGCCTGGAATATCCTCTTCAAACTGTCTGCTCAGTACCTTACCATCTGGGTCACGGCTGCAGCATCCTCCTTCGGAGCCCCCTGCTGCTGCTGCTGCTGCTGCGACTGCCCGTCCTGTCGATCTGGTTGCTGTAGCGGCAGCAGCCGGGGCTGTAGCAGGTCCGTCTTGTTGAGCGCCACGACGTGGGGCCGGGCACAGTACTCCGGGTTGTACATCCGAAGCTCCTCCCGTACTGCACGTACGACATGTTGGGGACAAAACACGCACGTGAGTTGCTAAGGATGTGTGTACGAACGTGCGAGCAGCGAGAGCACAAAGTTATGATGAAGAATTCTCAGAATGCGGGGAGGCCATGTTTCCCCTCTTTCCCCTCCCTGAACACACACACACACACACGCACACACGCGCGAGGGAGAGAGAGAGGGAGAAAGAGAGAGAGAGCGCTCTTCTCCCTCCCAAAAGACACACGCATACACACCCACGGCTGCACACCCGCACCCACCCGCGTAGTAGTCCGTGGCAGGGTCGGGTCCCGAGGCATCCACGACATGGAGGAGCGCTCGTGTACGACGAAGATGACGTAGGAAATTGCGGCCCAGACCCCGGCCTTTGTGAGCACCTGGGTGGTGGTGGTGGTGGGTAGGTGGGGAAAGAAGGGAAACGGAGGGGGAGAAAAGGGGAAAACACACGCATGGCTGGGAGGAGGGATGATGATGACGACGACGATGATGATGATAATTACACGATAATTACGATGCAAAAGATGAGCGACGAGAGTCAGCAGCCAGACGACATCCAGAGCCGCAAAGTGCGGGCGAACTCAAACCCCAACCCCAACCCCAACCCCCAAAAACACTTTTCATAACCCCGCTTTACATTTTCAGCTCCCCCAAACCCCCCACGCCACCCCCTCACCTTCAATGAGCCCCGGCAGGTCCGCCAGCACCGCCCGAGTAGCTCCTCCCCCGGCTGACAACACCCCCAAATTGGGCATCAACGTGGTGAAGGGGTAGGGGGCGATGGCGGGGGAGGCGCGGGTGAGAGCCTGCGGCACGGGGAACAACGGGGCGTCCAGGACGGCGGGGGGTTAGCGGTTGGCGGTTGGGGGGAAAACCGTGTGATATGACGCAATCGTATCACTCTACCCTTGGAACCAGCTTCACTCGTTCGTGGTTCGTCTTCCCCCCCCCCCATCCCCCCCCTCAGGCTCACCTTGAGCAGCGAGCTCTTGCCCGCATTGGGGAAGCCCACCAGCCCCACGTCCGCCACCACTCGCAGTGTGAGGGTGAGCGTGAGCTGGTGACCCGGCTGGCCGCGACTGTCAGATACCCAGCCCGGGTCCTCCACGTCCACAACCTCGACACCCTTGGACTGGGGACGGCGGGGCGGAGGGGTGTGGGGTGGTAAGGGGCAGGAGGGAGGGGAGGGGAGGGGGAAAGGGGATGAGGAAAAGGGGGAGAGGATGTGGAGGTGGAGGGGAAAGAGATGCGGGAGGAAAGGGGCGAGGAGAAGATCACCTGCAAAGGTCGAACAATGCACTTACGACGTCTCCTCTCCATTTCCCCGCCCTCTATAATAGCTTGCCCCAAACACACAGAGACACAGAGACACACACACAGACATACACACACCTGTATACACACGTACATACACACGTACATACACACGCACACTCACTCGCGCGTCCCTCTCCGCCCGACTGATCCGCGCCCGTCGTTGCTCCCGGGAGGGCGCAACCACTCCATGGCCACCCTGACCGCCTCTCACAACGGTCAACCGCTGACCTGCAACCGAAACAACACCAAAAATCCACACCGTCTCAGGGGCGGTAAAGATCGTGGATAATCCGAAAATACTTACAGTACCGCAAAAGGTTTAATTTCATCTAAATGCTCTCATTCGTATCATTTTTTTACTAATTTAATAATTTCAAAATAGTAAAACGAATGGAAGCGGGCTGTACGGATAGCCGCATGCCGTACCTGGCTGCAGTAGCTCCCCCAATAAGGCCCCCGTGCCCCGGCGCTTCACTACCGTACCCGGAGGTACGGGAATCTCCAGGGAGGGAGTGAGCGCCTTCTTTATCTGATGAAGCATCACGGAGGTCAGAAAAAAGGGGGTGGGGACCCGCCCCGGTCTTCACTTGACTCATTGCTGTTATACATGGTATGTATGTGTGTGTATACGTGTGTGTATATGTGTTCCTCTCTTCTTCCAGCCCTTCCCCGTCCTCTTCCCCCCTCTCCCCCCCTTCTGCCCCACTTCCTCTCCCCCTTTCCCCCCCCTCCACCTCACCCCCTTCTGCCCCCCTTCCTCTCCCCCCTTTTCCCCCCCCTCCACCTCCCCCCCTTCTGCCCCACTTCCTCTCCCCCCTCCCCCCCCTTCCCCTCCACCTCCCCCCCTTCTGCCCCACTTCCCCTCCCCCCTTTCCCCCCTCCACCTCACCCCCTTCTGCCCCCCTTCCTCTCACCTCCTTGTTCTTCTTGGGGCCCCCACTCCCCGTGTTGGGATTGGCATTGGCGCCGTCGGAGGCGCAAAACGTACCCGCCACTACGCCCCCACCGCCCCCACCAGTACCCGCTTTTCCCCCTCCCTGGCGTTGTTGGCTCCGTTTTTGGTCTTTCTGTTGGTGCAGGTGTAGCAGGGAATCCACTCCGGAGTCGCACACCAGCACCACATCGCCCCCATCAGCGCCGTCACCGGGGTCGCCTGAACGGGTTTAAGAGGGTTTAAGAGAAAGAGGATTCATTTTAAACGATGAAAAAAGTAAAAAAGAAGAGACGACTGCCAGTGGCGTCCAAAGCACCACTTTCTGGGGAGTGGGGGGGAGGGGAATTACATCCACAACTACTCCCACAGCCGCCACCACAACCGCCACCAACAGATATGACGCAGGTCCCTTCCCCCAGGTTGCGTTCCAACAACCCCTCCGCGCCTTCTTCGGCACCTCGCGCGCGGGGGCCCCCCAGCCGCGGGCGCCGTTCCCAGCTGTTCCCCGTGCGGCAATTCAAAGAGGTCAAAACAAAGCAAAAGAAGACTAACTAGGTCGCACGGGTTCGAACCCACTTGCGGGCAGCCAGATCTGCTTGGGCTGATTGCCGCCAGGTTTGTATTTGTGGTTGGGCACGTAGCGACCGCGATCCGCCGGGACCACCTCCCCATTGCCGCCGCGACCGCTCCTGGATAAGGGGTGTTTATTTTCAAGGTAGCCCTTTGTGAATGCGAGTTGGGGTTAGGATGCGTCTGCCTGTATGTATGTAGGTATTAAGGGTTGGGTTTCAGGGTTTTCTCTCAGACATGGGGGGAGCATGCTCTTTATGACGGCCGTAATCTTTGGACTCCCTCCCCTCCTCCCTCCCCCCCTTCTCCCCTTCCCCTCCTCCCCTTCCCCTCCCCCCCTTCCCCTCCCCCCCTTCCCCTCCTCCCCTTCCTCCTCCCCTTCCCCTCCTCCCTCCCCTCCCTCTCTCACTTGACGATGATAACCACCTCGTCAAACACCTTGTGGGCCTCCGGTACGGCGGCATCTGTACGGCAGTACAGAAGGCACGGTCACAATGGATCATAGGAAAGGAACTCCCAGGACTCATTTCCTCTTGCTCTTCTTCCATGTAAATGTTTTGGATATTGAATTGTGTTGTAATGTATAGATGTTTCTTTAAAATTGCACTCTTAAACTGCAGTGGAAGCGGAGTGTGCTGATTCGTACAGTCGTACATCGTACCTGCTCCGTCTCTGACGGGCAGGCGCTTCCCTGGAAGCGCCGGCTGTGGGTCTGCGGTTGGAGTGAGGGGGGAAAGACGAACCACGAGCGAGTGAAGCTGATGCCACTGAAAGACTGATGCGTCAGAAGTAAAGAAGGATTGAGGGGGGGTGATATGTCCGGGGGAATGGACATGGCGATCAACGATAAGGATGAAATAGACGGATGCGGGGAAAACAAGGGATAAGAAAGAAACACCGCAAATCCGGACGTGGGGCATAAGTTTAAAGCCTCTTTGCCCTCAGGACGATATAGTGGGAGGGAGTGTTGTTCATGAGGACGGAACAGGAATGGGGTTGGGTACGTGGGGAGGCGTTTAGTGGGTTGTGTTGATAATAATTGTGTTCGACGCCATGCGGAGAGCTCGCACCTGGACGCGTAGCAGGCCACTGCGTTCCGTGGGCGATTTGGGAGGTCCGCTGCTGTCTGGAAAAGAAGCTGTTCCCCTGGGGCTTGCCGCTGCCGGTACTGCTGCTGCTGCAGCTGCCTGTGGATTTCGCCCCGAGACCAGCGCATCGCCAGGCGCTGCGGACTGAACCAATCGTATTAGTCGAAGTCCAAGGGCAGAACATGTAATGGGAAGAGCACATTAGCTGTCGTGCTTCCATTACGCTGTACGTTCTGGACATGGGAGAAGCCTTGGTGGCGGCTATGGTTGGCTATCCAACAATCGTTTCACTTCCTAGCTTGCATGCAAAAGAGACGCTTTAATCCAAACTTAGAACAGAAGTTGTCCCTCACTGGACTCTAGGCACTAGGCCTGTGTAACATTCCAACCGTTCTAGCTGGCTTGCTGAAGGTGGCATAGACTGCTACCTAGAGAAAAACTTCTTCATTTTTAGTATAACTCATCATTGGATTTTTGTTACGGGCTTCGAGCCTCAAGGCTGGCTCCAAACCACACAGTTGTGGTTCCATATCACAGGACATGCGACTGAAGTGGTGTTTTGTAGCAGAGTAAAGCGTTGTGTCGTCCATAATATGCAATACCTTCGGACCATGTCATACTCCAATGGTTTCATTTAGTGAAAGAACAAATAGAACTAACATACTAAGTACTGTGGCAAGTCTTTGTTTACCTTCCTGATATATCACCAAAACTATGAGCGCTTCACTGCCATTAGCGGACTCCCTTATTCACCACGCTAGCAGGCGGTCCCCTGTCGCCCATTAGGTTGACTGTCGCTCTTTGGCCCCATGTCATATGAGGGGCTACAACATAGCGCTGTGCAAACAGCGTCCCTGGACTATACAAGCGACCCCTACGCTTCTTCCAGCGCCGGCTAGCGATCCAACGTTTCGTCCCAAATGGCCAGTCCGTCGTTTCGATCGCATCGCTGCTGCTGCAGCAGCTCGCAACACGTCTGGAAACAATGGTAGAGCTGAGAACAAGCGTTGGGGCCACCAGGTAAATCAGCCTGCGCACTGCGTCCCCACATAGATCCCTGATGCCTTGCCGCGCGGCTGTGGCTCCCCCTTAAGTAACTCTCCCACCCACCACAAACCATCCTCCCGTTCATCCACCCGACCACTCATCCACCCGGTCATGCATTTCCCCACCTCACACACACACACACCGCTTACAGATCCCCATTTCCCTGCATCACCATCAACCCCAACCGCACTCCCTTCTCTCCTCCCTTCCTCTCCCCCTTCCCACCCGCTCCGATCGCGGCTCCGCGGCACACGCGCACGCAAAGGCCGGCGCCGGTGACGAGGATGGCAGCAGCAGCGGTGGCGGTGGCGGTGGCGGTGGTGGCGGTGTAACCCCTGGCGACATTATCATCTTCAAGCCGGCAGAGGAGAGCTCCTCCAAGAGGCGGGTGAGTCGTTACTGATTACTGGAGTGGTTGGGGGCATACATACATACATACATACATACATACATACATACATACATACATACATACATACATACATACATACATACATACATACATACACACGTACATGCGTACGCACCCCAGGTGCAAGGTCCCCTACGACGGAGCTCCTACCGGCGAACTAAGGAGAAGGCGGAGGAGATCCGGAGGCAGCGAGCGGATTACCAGGTGTGCGTGCGGCGGGTGGTAGCAGTGAGTGCGCGGGGCGGGGGGGGCGGGGCAGGGGGTTTTAAGTGGTGGGGGATTAGGGAATGGTGGAAGACCGGAACTGCGGAAAGGTCGGGGGAAGATGGGTGAGTCGATTTTAAAGCTCGTCAATTTATAGCTGTCAGGTTGAGGTAGCAGTAAACCTCAAGCTGTCTGACCAAATGCCATCCAAAATATTGTTGTGTTCAGCTCTTACATCGCTCAAATCGCGAAACCATTTTTTGCTGGTCAAGATGTCGCATCGTAACAGTATATGCGACATCTTGACATGCGAAGTCTGATCGACGCAGAGAGCCACGAGCGAGCCTCAGAGGCAACAATGCTGCCTCCCAATAATGACCCCGCAATGCTCCCACCGCACATGTCAGTGTGAGACACGCAGTCTCACATACGACCTACATACGACCTACACCCTTTCCCTCTCTCACTCACACACACCCACATACGCACACATGTCTCGCCTTCCTCCCTCACTCTTTCCCCCCGTCTTCGGATCCCCCCCGAGTGTTGCCTCTTCAGGCTCAGCTGGCAGCCGCCTCCAGTCGGGCCCGTGTGAGGTGAGGTCGGGCTGTCAGACAGGATCAGGTGCCCCGGGGGGTATTGGTGGCCTGGGGTGGACTGCCTACTTCGCTGGGTGGGGGGGAAAGTAGCCACCCTAACCCACCCATGTGCGGCTGTGTCGCGGTGTGTGTGCGCGCTCGCGCGCGCGTGTGTGTGTGTTTATGTATGTTGTTACAGGGTGGTTAACTTCGCCAGCGGCCCCCTTTCCCGGGGCAGTCCCTGCTCTCCCCTGCTAGAGGGGCACCCTAATCCGTCACCCCATCCAACTTCGGAATGTATTCGTTGGGTTCGGCAACTCACCACCGGCATCCAACCAAATCTAGCGGATCAACGGCGCATCAACTTAGTTCCTGGTCAGCTCGCAAGTTGATATTATCACGTCCTACACCGTCCATATGATGGGGGGCCACCTCCCATTTCATCACTCCTCAAACACCCGAGGAGCCGGCAGGCGGATTTGAACCCGGGTCGACTGGGTCGACTGGGAGCAGAAGTCAGGCCTTAACTTCTGCCAGCCGCCTGCCTGTGTTTATGTATGCACGATGTGTGCGCGACTGAGCCGCGAGGTGGACGCGCTGGGTTGTTACGAGTGCAACTTACTTTATGGTGTGTGTACGCGCACGCCTAGATACGTGTGTAGGTGTATGTGTGGTTTATTTCATGTGGGGGATCTCTCTCTCATCCCTGCCGTACAGGGACATCAGCTCCCAGGGCCCCCCCGGCCAGGACGGTCCCCGTGTGGCGCTTGTGGACGGCTACAACGTCATACACGCATGTCGGGAGCTGCACCGCCTGGCGAGATTTAGCCTGCAGGTGGTGGTGGTGGGGTGGTGGTGGTGGCGTGGTGGTGGTGGTGGTGTGGTGGTGGTGGGGTGGTGGTGGTGGGATGGTGGTGGTGGTGGGATGGACCGGACCGGAATGTGGGGTTGACCCAACGCAGCTAGTGGGAGGTTCCTCTTCGCTCTTCCTCCCCCGCCGACCAACGGCCAACGGCCGCCATGATCTGCCTCCTCCTGACGTTCTGATGTCTCCGCTAATGGTACCGCCGCTGCAGGACGCTCGGTTTGCACTTAATCGGATGGCCGTGGCGTACGGCGCGACGTACGGCATCAGGTACATCCACGCACCTGACACAAGGTTTTGTTGGTTCTCCTCCTCAAGCGACATCTCGCAGCACACCGAACTTTACCAAGCTGAGGAAATGCTGAAGAACAGAATTAACTGTCAGTTAGTGGGTTTAGTCAGTCGGTTGGAAGCCAGCTTGAGGCCGCGTTCTCCTCGCCGCTCCTCACCCTACCCCTCTTCCTCCCTCCCTCCCTCCCTTCCCCCTACTGCGTTCGGGAAGTGGCTTCATCAGTGTGGACTCCCATTGGTAGACGTCGGAGCGGTCGTTTCCTTGGCTTTCTGCATCCTCCAGTATGTTCCCTCCCTTCCTTCCCAACACACTTGTCCTGTCCGTGTTTTGCAGGGTGTTCGTCGTGTATGACGCAATGGGTTCTCAGTCCACCTCCAACAGTTTTGAACGACTAAGCTCGCAGGCCGTTGCGGTGTTTTCCGCCGCCAGCGAGGCCGACACGTACATCGGGAAAGCTGCCGTACAGTGGAAGCAACGAGGGGCGCAGCAGGTGGATCTGGATCTGTCCGTCTGTCTGTCTGTCTGTTTGCCTCTCTGTCTGTCTCCATGTTTTGTGTTCGTGTTACGTGTTTTGGTGGTTCCCCGTTCCCCCTCATAGCCCTGGGTTTCGCGCAATTGGTTTGTGGTACGTACGCGCGCACGTTTATAAAAGTTAACATCATAACTTTTAACATATAAATTTAACTCTTTGATAAAGGCTTGGTAAATCAGCTCATCAGTGACTGATGTGTAATGTGTGATGCGCCTCTACTCCGCCCTTTCCTGCAGGTGATGGTCGTTTCCAATGACCGCTACGTTCAGGACAACGCAATTGACGGCGACTACGTCATCTATCCGGTGCAACTGGACACATGGCTTGATCAGGCACACCGCGCGGCTACGGCACCCGGGCGGCGGCCTGGCAGTGGCGGCGCCACCGCCGCGGCGACAGGGCTGTCCCGATCAGCCCTGTCCTCATTTTCAGCGGCGTCATCAGCTAATTTTGATGGTGATGATGATGGTGGTGGTGGTGGCGATGATGACGCTGAAGGCCATCGGTCATCGGGCCGGAGAGGAGGTCGTGGTGGCGTGAGCGTGGGGATGGGGGATACCGGTAGGGAGGTAGTTCCAAGCAGTTGGGAGTTGCAGAGGAGGTTGGCTCGCCTGGTGAAGGTCCGCGACGCAGCAATGGACAATGACGGTGATGACGACGGTGATGACGAGGCGGAGGGGGAAGCGGGCCACGAGGACCTGGACTGGAAGGAGGAGGAGGAAGAACACGAGGCAATGGAGGAGGGGGAGGAGGAGCAGGAGGTGGACTGGCTCGCATGGAGTCACGACGTACCCCGATTCAAGGTTCGGAGTGAATTGGTAAAAGACGAGGAGGACGAGGTGGCGGGGCCGGCTGCGGTGGCAGAGGAAGACGGGATTGCTCGCCTTGGCGCTGTTTCAGACGGGATTAGAATGGTAGTAGGGAACTCGGGCAGCAGCAGCAGCCGTAGCGGCGGCATTGGCGGCAGCTCTATCGACATCCGCGGCGGCGGGGACGTGGAACAAGACAGGACCGCTGCCGCCTACAGCGATGGTGGTGGTGATATGGCTGATGGTTGCGGCGGCGGCACCAATGGCGAGGAGGGGGGAAAGCAGGCACCAGGAATACTTGGAGCATTCGTTACGCAATTGTCGCCAAGGGAAAATGACCCGTGGGTCGGTGGCGGCGCGAGTCGTCAGAGGGAGCAAGGACACCTAGACGCTGCCGCTGCTGTTACTGCGGCAGCGGTGGCAGCTGCAAGTGCGACGGCAACTTCCCCATCGCCAGCTCCTTCGTCGGTGGTCGCCTCTGTGCCCACAGCAACCTCCGCAGCTGCTGCTGAGGTGTCACCAGTCCCGACCAGTCCCACACTTCTACCACCTGCAGTACATCCTCCGCAGCCTTCTCCGCATAAGCCTTCAACTGCTTCGGCACCCGCGGCAACGACCTCCATATCCGGCCACAATTCTCACACTCACAGCAGTCGCAGTCCCAGTCCGAGTCCTAGTCCAAGTCCTAGTCCAAGTCCTAGCCGAAGTCCCAGTCCTAGCCCGAGTCCCGGTCTGAGCGGGTTGCTGGGTAAGGGAGGGAGGGCTCGACTGGCAGGGCTGATCAAAAGGGCGACTCAGGACCCGATGCCTTGAACCAGGGGCCGACTGGGCACCGACCTGTGGGTCATACCCCATGTGGGTCGCTACCTAGCCACAAGTCAAAACACATGCACACATGCAGTAGAAAGCAAGGTCGTGCTTAGGCTGCTAAGGAGGACCGGGGAAATGTCCGAAATATTAATGAGGAAATGCAAGAAAAGGGCGAAAGTGGGCAGGTGGCAGGAACTTGCATAGGCGGTTGGGAGCTTGTGCATGTGTGCTCAGCGGCAGCAGCAGCTTGAGAGCTGTAATGTGTATGTATTAGAACAGTGAGCCGCAAGCAGGAAGTGGCGAGGATGGTGCACGCGCAGCTCTGTCTGAAGAATGTAGTCTAGCGTATTGGCGGTGTTGCTGAACATGTGAAGGGGTTTATGACAGAGGGACTGGCGCCAAAGCACGCTAAAATTGCCGGTGCTGTAGTGGCGATGGATGGTTGTATGTGGTGTATGCGCCCTCCGTATGTGGGGACGCGCCGGTGCTGATGCCGCCAATAGGCACACCCACATACATACATACACACACAGTGTTTCCGTAATAAAGGTTGTTTCTCATTGTAGATATTCAGAAGCATCTGATGATCTCGGCTTTTTTGTTTGTAAATCTTACTTTTTTATAATATTTCTATTTTCACATCCTAACTGCTGGTTGCGTCTTCCCGGGAGATAAGCCCGGCCAGGCCACGTGTTTTGGGGGGGGGTGGGCGGGTGCGGGTAGCTTGCATGTGTGCGTAGCAGGCGTTGTATCCTTGGTTGACTTGGCCCGTGGACTTGGCCCGTGACCCTGCTTGTGTTGCATCGAACTGAGTGCCGCCAATGGTGGCAGCTGAGGGGCTCCGGTGGAATTGTATTTGGTGCGCTCCATTGGATGGTGACGGTGAGAGTCAGGGGAGACTGGGGACAAAGAGATCGGGACGGACTCGGCCCGGGTGAGAAAGATGGGAAGGGAAGGCAGTCATAGCCAGGCAGTGAGGCAGTGAGGCAGTCATAGCCAGTGGAGACCCTATTTGTCAGTGACAGCCTAAACCCCAGCCAGATTTCCCCTTAACCGCAAGTTCTAGAGAGCCATGTTGCTTTTCCAGCTGCCACGAATTAATTAAGTCTAGCGCGCCACCTTGTGCGTCGCTTTCGCAATCAATCAGCAAGAGGGGGAATGAACAAGGTACTCAGGATAAGGTCATAAGATTCTTTCGGCTGCTGACGCTCTGGAGACGTCCTTCGCACCCCAGTATTGCCTAAAGAATGGCAAGCCCGTCAAAATGAATGGGAAATGCCGTACATTGCGGAAGCGCAGGGCAATCCGCTCTGATGATGTTTTACTAAAACGTCCTCCAATAGTATGTGCCAGAGGCCAAAGGGGCTTAATAGGAAGTATTGGGAGGACTTTTGTTGACATCATCAAGCCCCGAAAAAATGGCCGCAGTGACGCAGCTGATGGGCCGCGCCTTTGAGAAGTATTTCTACGACTTCAGCCTTTACGACAGATACTTCAAGAACTACATCAAGAGCCGGGGGCAATATGTCGCTCTGTAAGTCGGGAGGAGCCGTCACGGGGCAGGTCCCGGCTCAGAGCAAGCAAGCAGATCAAGTCAAGTTTGGGCCATAACACCTACTGATATTAAACTTTCTGTCCATGTGCTGCTCTTTGGACGCAGGCGACACGTTGCTTTCGTGATGGTGAGGGCAACTGAGAATCTCCGTGAATAACGCTGTAGACTTAGTTTGGTGTAGTCTAACACGCTGTCATGATCCGTAGGTTGGCGTCAACCTGCTCATCGACGTGAACTTCCCCTTCAACCCGCCGTTCCCAACGATTGGTGAGTAGCACGGTGTTGAAGGGTTTTCCTATTCTCATCCGTACCTAATGCCTTAATGCTGACTTCTTTCCCCTCTTTCCAACCTTGCCACAGGGATGTGCCCCGCCGGTAAGCTCCGACACGGTGCCCAAGCACCAGGCCTGCCTTGGGACACATCCTTGGGTCAGGTGAACCTCAATCTGGACAGGTGTTGAGCTGTGGCTAACTGTTATGTTGTCCCCCCCGTCGGGGTGTGGACCCTGCACGCGTCAATACTGCAGGGTGGAAGGGCACGTGGGTTTGCGAGACGGATAAGCACAAGGCCCTGGAGGTAAGCCTCGGCGTGCCGTGATGGATAGTAGGCCTAGTGGTGGGTGTTACCGTATCTTCTTCCCAAACTCGCACCGCCGCCCCTGCCCTGCCTCATAAGGTTTCCGACGCGCCTTGCTGTCCTTACGACAACCCCCAGTGGATGCTCTCACAGTCTAAGGCGCTTCCCGTCTGTCTTACCTCGTTTCGGATGCGGCCTTACGGCCGATAGCTGCCATTTCGTGATACGTCGATGTGCCGCTGTCGTGTTGTGCGGTGTTGTTTCATGTTACGCCGTGCTGTGTGACGTCGTGCCTTGTGGTCATGTCGTCGCTCGCATGTAATATGCGCGTCTGTTCAAGTAGCCCTGAATAATTCCTTGCCCTGGTCCTCTTCTCCGATGCGTCGGACTGCCTTTCTCACAGATGTACAAGGAGTGGAAGTCGGGCAAGAAGGCCGTGGAGGCGCATCACTAGGCGCACCATTAAGCGCACCATTAAGCGCACCACTAAGGCGCGCAACTACGCCTGGGGTGGCAGCAGCAGCTGGAGCATTCTGGATGTCACAAGCTGCGGCGCAAATGGCAGTCGTTGCACGTGGAGCGGCGAACAGACGACAGGCGACAGACGTGTGTAGCACCTCTGCACACGGGATGGGGTTGAATCTGGGCTGCAGGATCCGCATCTAGCCTGCCTTACACCAACTCGTCACATGGCATGCTGTCGGCGGTGTCCACTTGCCGACAACTGCTCGCGCGCGTGTAAGAGCACAAGCGATGGCAACAATGTTTGCGAGGCTTTTCGGCGATGGGATGCTTCTTGAAACCCCCATTGGAACGACACCGGTGGACTCATACGGTCGCCTGTTGCGGAACTTCCAGCCATACGCGCGCACTCACGTGCGGGCGTGTGGAGCACGTGGGTAACCAACCAGCGCTGCTTGCTTGTAGTTGCGTCGGCTTCGTACTAAGGCTGCGCCCTGTTGTGGGAAACATAAGCTTGGCGACGTGAGATACTTTGTAGTCAACACAGGGTAGCAGGTGCCGTGTAATGTGATGTAGGCATGCGGTCTCGGGAGGACATGCTATCCTAAACAAGGTGTATCATGCCCACCAACACACCATCGTTGGAAAGAAGTACCCCACACGATATAAGAACTCATCTATTATCTCTCAAGTATTTACCCTCGTAGAAGACGCACGCAAATACACACTGAACACACGCACAACACATCACGCAAGATTGCCAAAAGTGTACCTAAACACGTAGAATGTGCACAAACTAGAACGTACACAGACGCGCGCGCTGTAAACATTCTCGGCAACGGCACAATTATGTACATACGCCCTCAGCCTTTACGACCGTTCTGCTTCACATCAACACAAGCGCTAGACGAGAACGTGCAGCGTGAGACAGCAACACCTGCAAGCAGCCAGGCTGGCGTCTTCGCGGCGCCTTCTGCTACCTGTTCAAATCTTCACCACTCAGATGAAATGGCCTCGCAAACAGCACTACGGCCAGTTAGGTTTAGGCGCCTGCCCCCCGCCGTCCTTCCCTCAGCCGCTCTCCTCTCCATACGTCGCGGCCCGCTGCCGTCGCCCGCAAACGCGCCCTCACCGAGAGCCTCATCTCTGACCAGGACAAGCAGTCCTTGAATTCCGCTCGGGTAATTAGCCTCCCTGCCTGTGCCTATGCCTGCTGCAAGATGCTCTGCTTCATCTTCTGGGCCAACGCTTCACGAAGGGCCGCGCGCTTGGCCTCATCCGCGCTCACGGCACCGCTAGCGCCAGCCTTGGGCTGATGGCAGACACGTGCGAGGGTCGCGTCGTTCGAAACATAATACCGCAAGCGCGATGCCAGACCAGAGGGACACACATGGTGTTTCACGATGAGGGATACGTACCATGGAATGCCCAATCAGGGCAAATACGGACGGTGAAAGGAAATCGAGGGCTTGCAATAGTGGAAAGTGTCGAGGCTTGTTGTAGAAAGTAACCACGGACGCACAACCCTCGCTAGCCTGCCCTCTGGTCCGATCGTTAACCTTGAACGATTAGGTAGGAACCGCCTCCCCGCGCCGCAATGCCTTCCCTTTCCTCCCCCCTCCGCCTCACCTTGCTTCCCGCCGCGGCCTTGTACGCCTCAATCTCCTGCTCTCGGTCCGCCTGCTTTTGCGCAACTAACTTCTTCTTGGCCTCCTGAAGCCATTTGCTGGCCTCGTCATTAGCGTCACCCTTGCCAATCAGCTTCTGCGGATGGAGGAGGAAAGGGGCTGAATCAGGCCGGATGCGGGCACGACATTTCACCAGCCGCTAGTCGGTTGGTATGTGAATCGTAGGGCAGGTGGCCAGTCTCGCAACTACATGAAACACTTTCAAAACAAACAAAAACACAGAGCCAAAGAGCCCGTACCTTCTGCGACTCGGCCGCCTGCTGGGCGGCCTTACGAACGGCCTCCAAGTCCACTCCGGAAGATGCCTCGCTCTTGTAGCCCGCACCCCGGCCACGAACCCTGCCAGCCGAGCCTAAGGAACACGAGGGAGAACGACAAAATGAGGAAGATTTGAACGACTTGACAAGTAAAAACCTGGGTCAGAAGGAACACGAATTAAATCCATCAAACAGCAATTACTTGCGCACTCGGTTGGGCGGGGTAGACCATGGGAGAGGGATATGCATCCCTTAAGCCCTAAGCCCCCCTAGGAGAAACTAAAACAAGGTTACTCACTGCCGGTGGGTGCGTCAATCGGCGCTGGAACAAACTTCTGGGGCCGCGGGGACGCAGCAGCAGCCGCTGCGTCAGCCGCCGGAGCCGGAGCGGCCGGAGCCGCCGGCTGCGGCGGAGCCCCTGCCGCCGGTGCGCCCTTCACCGGCGGCAGCGGCGCTCGCTCGGCCGCCTTGGCGGGGACCGCCGCAGTAGCAGTGGCAGCCCTGCCGTCGCTGCCCTGGGAGGCCAACCTTCGCCGTTCCTCCTCAAGCGCCAAGGACAGCGCGATTGCCTGCTCAATGTCCGCAAGCTCGCTATCGAATTTGGCATGCTCCCGGAGCGAAGCTGCTATGGCCACGGGCAGCGCGGCTTCCTCGTCTTCCAGCTGTAACGCCCTCATGGCCTTCTCGAGTCGGTCCGCCTCGGCCCACTCGGCTTGAAGTCGACTGGAAATCTCCATTGCCTGTTTAGGAATGCGGAAATGTGAATCGGGTGCAGCGTAGGGCTCCACGGTAGGAGGACGTGCTGGCAGAGCGATGGAAGGATACGAGCATGACGCAATTATAACTCTAACATGGGGCGCAGAGGGAAAGCCACCAAAGGATGTTCCTTCATCGGGCATCAGGAAAATTACCAGGGTAAAGTCTTCTTCTTCGTCTTCCCCAAAGGGGAACCAAAGTCTCTTATTCGTCTCCGTCCCCTTTAGGGGAAGAAGAAGAACACACCCCTTCTTCTTCCCTTTTGGGGAACCAAAGTCTCTTTGGTTCCCCAAAGGTATCCAGATCCCACCCAGGGCAGAGCCGTACGGGAGATCGCAGAACCAGATACTCCTCGACGGATATCCGTTGTGGGGGCACATATGTACACCGACAGTGCGACAACATGTAATGCCAAATCAGATACAGCGCATCAGGTGATCTGGAGGGTAGGCGAAGTAGTGCCTGAAAAGGTAGGCTCAAGTGCCCAGGTATGCATGCGCAGCTATTTAGGCCGGTAGCATGTAGGGCCTGCATTACACAGCGGAATACAAACTACCGCCCAAAATTACTCGTGTGCCATCCTTGCCCATGTCCTTGTCCAAGCCGCGGCTCAGATCGCAAAAGCACAGCTGTCCAGCCCACTGTCCCATTCCCAACCCACCCATCCCGGACCCACCTCCCGCAGCACCTCCTCCTCCTCACTGGTCAGGTTGCTCAGCAAACTGGCGCCGGGCTCCCCCCCTTCCTCCCCTTTCCCCTGCGACTCCATCAGAGCCTGCTCCACTGCCTCCAGAACCTGCGGAGAAAATGGAAAAGAACGTCCGCAGAGGGCGCAGATTCGAAAACAAGACACAAAAAGCAGCGTGGGGTTGGACGCGTGCTGCAAATACACACCTGCAACATTGCAAAGAGGAGCAGCCGCTGTTGGGAGCTATGTCAGGGGACGGTGTCACTGAAATGAAAACACGAACGAAAATTGCGTGCAAAAGCGACACCGTATGTATACAATACCTACATTCGTACACATGTCCGTACACATCCGGTATAATTTCGTACCTGTGCGGTGAGGTCGATGTTCCTCCGTACCATCATGGCTTTAAACATGAGGAAATCGTCCACTGTGAGAATTGTTTGCACCACAAAGGCAGTGAGCTGGTCCGTTTCCTGAGCAGCAGACACCGTCTGAAAAGGGAGGAGAATCATACGCGAGTAGCGAGAAGAGGGGAAAGCAAATTTGGTCAGTTTGCTTTCTGGTTGAAATGGTCAAGATGCAAAGAGCTAAGGAAAAGGCAAGCTGGTAATAAGAATGAATAAAGGGGGAAGGATATGTGGAGAATGTCGACATGAAGCGAGTTACAGAACCATCCAAAGCTGAGTGACATCAGGTTCCTCTTCCATGCTTCATTCCGTTGAAAGCGCCCAGCCCTCGCATTCCCCGACCCAAATCAAATCTCCCGTTATGAATCTTCATTTGGGGGTTCGTTTCAAAACCGGTTTCCCCTCCTGGACCCTTTCCTCCCTGTCGTACTCCGTGCTACTCAAAACTTCCCTTCCCAACCCTCCCACTGCTGCTCTCAAGGCTTCTTCCTAAAGCACACCTTGAAATGCCAACCCAGGCTAACCACTCTACACTGACCCACCTTGTAAAACTCCTCTGGCCCCACACCAAGCTCCAAAAGGAAGTCAGTTAGGAGTTTGTCAACCAACTCCTTAAACTCGTTGTGGCACTGACCATGCGGAGGGGAGAAACGTGTGAAAGCAAGGGCGGAGGGAGAGGAAAGCAGAAAAGGAGTGGAGAAGAAAAATGACCCCAAAGGGCGACGTAGGAGAATCGTGCGGGCAGTATGTGCATGACTCAAAGGGTGCTTTGCCATGCTGTTTGACATGTTGTAGTAGGTGCAACTAATGACGGCGCACGTGATGAACAGACATGTGTAGGTCGGGCCCGGTCAAACTTCCATGACCCAAATGGCGTCCCAAGTTGTGGGAGACTGACCGTATGCAGAGAGCGTGGTGGGATAGAGCAGGAGGGAAAGGAGGAGAGGGGATGCGTCTCCAGTTGATGCAAAAAGGTATGCAGGGGGCCGTAGTTCCGCTATCAGGAAATAGCGGAATCTTACAGCCCTGCATGCGAAAAGACAAAGGATTTTGTTTGCCACATTATAATGACAGATCACTATTGCATACACTGCTGACCAAGGCAAAAACCACCCTTCCGTCCAACTTACGGTTGTGTACTCAAGCTTGTTCTCTTCTTCTGGCGTGAAAATGAGGCATTTCTCATCAATGAAACTCATCAAGGGATTTATGTACAAAGGTCCCTGCAGGCATGCCGTAAACTTGATAGGGAGAAGCCAAATGGTGCATGTTCCCCGACATACAGCGTACCTTTAGAAACTCCACAACAGCTTCGGAAAGCCATGTCGCGTCTGCCATACTAACAAATGACTCGTTATGCCTGCTTTAGATGCCTGTGGGATCTAGGACTTCGGGAGATTCCGATGCCGATCGCCTATAGGTAGCCAAATACCACCGCCTAAGTTATAAACACGAGCTTCTCTGTGCAATGTGTTGCTTGGAGCTCTCCTCCATTGTTTAACCGGCAGATGCCGTGTGTCTTCATGGCCCTTCTTATGTGTACGGCTCTTTCGAACGGCAATGTGCAAAACACTACAGAACTGTAAAACGTGGAATCCAACTGTTCCCTTCTTTGTCATGACACAGGTTTTCCTGTATGTCATTAAAAAACTGTGCCAGGTCCCATTAGGTCCTACCATTCGTCAACCAAGTCAACCAACCGCAGTGCGCGCCTACACCCTGAACGACTCCCTTCCCCCCATCCATGCACGACCTTATCGGAAATCCTTACAGGCGACAACCTAAATCACAATTGTCTCGTGCCACACACGCCATCCATCACGCACAATCCACAGGATTCGAGTTATCCACGGTCCAAGCCTTCCAACGACGCTACTTCGACCCTCTCCTAAAGCTGTCGAAAACCTCCTCCGCCTCCACAGCTATCTACAACATGAGAGTCGTATAACGGCCAGCTGCTCTGGAAACTCCGCCCTACGCCCCAGTAACCTGGTACCATTAAAAAGCTTCTGACCTGATCTGGGTCCCTGAACAAAGCATAACCGTTCTCTCCTCAACAGCGACACGCGCACCACACCCCAGCGATACCGCCCACCTACATCATCACTCCGTCATTACATTATGCAATCACGCCAAAATGCGACAGGACTGGAAGGGAGGTTTCAGGAACGAAACCCACAGTCTCATAGCTACTCAGCGGCTCGAACCAATGCGAGGGAAGGGCGAGGGACGCGCCCGTCCACGCCTCCCCCCGCAACCGGGACCACATGTGTCCCACTGTATATACGTATACGTTTTCATAATCTGAGCCGCGAGACGGAAGAGCTGGGACGTTACAAGCAACTTCAGTGTGATGTCACAAGAGCAATTTCACCATGGAAAGTAGTCGAGCAATGTGTGGTGTCTGTGTGTGTCTCTGTTTGCGAGTGAGATAATGGGGGAGAGAGAGAGAGAGAGAGGGGGAGAGGTGAAGAACTCTTAAGGGGTAGTTGTGGACAAAGCCAGCGGGCGACGACAGCGGCGGCAGCTTTTCCCACGACAGCCCTTTTTGGCGGTGTCCATCTTTTCCATACGCAGCAGCCCACTCTGCTGCACCCCTAGGGGGGATCATATGCAAGAAACTCAGAAAATATCTGCCTGCCGGACGGCGTCCAAAGCCCGAAATTGCCCCTAGGAAGTGAGTCCGAAGCGACGAAGTCTCATCCCCTCATGAGCCCAATACGTTACCGACATCTTTTGTGGTTCAGTCCTAGGGGGAAGGTACTCCCGGGAGGAATGAAAACTGCTTTCCTACACCCGGCGCTCAGCCCACATCGCCTGCGGCCAGGCCCCCTCCACCTCCCGGGAAGAAATCCACCGTGGCAGCCCCCTCCCTCCTCCTCCTCCTTGCATCCGATATCCCCCACGACATCCCCCCCCAGAACCGGCGGCCTCCCGCTCAACCGGCTTCCTCCGCGTCCAAGTCGATCCGCTATCCCACCACCACCACCACCCCACCACCACCACTGTGATTTCCACCGGTGTTGCGCACTTTCTTCTGCTCCGCTGCTGAACCGGCCACCTCTCCGCTTCCGCCTCCGCCGCCCCGTCCTCTTGACAGTCCAGCTGGGACCCCCTCGCGGCCGCATTTCCCTCCCTTAACCACCCTCCCCTCCCCTCCCCTCCCCTCCCCTCCCCTCCCCTCCCCTCCCCTCCCCTCCCCTCCCCTTCCTCGGGTCCTCCTCTTCCCGCCGCGAGCTCCGCCCGCTCCTGCTCATGGTCCTCCTCGACGTTACCGACCTCACGCATTACCATGCAGTACTGCATCCCGTTTCTCATCCGCCGCCTTCCGCCTTCATACGCCTCCTAACACTACTGCTCCTCCCCCCCGCCCTCCTCCTCGCCCTCCTGGTTCTCAGTAGCCAGGAAGAACTGCGTTTATGTGCATGTGCACATGTTTGGAAAAGGAGGGGAGGGTAAGGGGATGGGAGTACGGGGGCCCGGCGAGTGGATGATGCGTTGTCATGAGGTGACCGTGGGGAGGGAGGCAGGTCAAAACCGGTCAAAACCAAAAAGGGAAAGGGACTGGAACAAGAGGAAAGGAAGTAGAACGATCTCAGTCGAGGGGCCCCTCCCCAGGTGCATCCATGCACGTGGTGCGTGTGCGTGCACGTGTGTTTTACTGAACGTGTGTACGCGTGTGGGTTGTTTTACCCGTCCCTCTCCCCGTCGTTCCTCTCTTCCCTTCCCCCTCTCACCGGCTCCAATGTGTTCGTGAGCTGCTCTTTGGTCATCTCGCTGTGAGCCGCCTCGCCCCACGTCAGCAAGTGAGTGGCGCTGCCGTCAGCTGCCGTACAACATGGCGTTAGCGGAGCACGGGCGGGCGGGGGGGGGGCAGCCATGGAACTGGATCAATGTGGTGGGAAGATGAGTTGCGGAACGATGGCGATGTCGCCCGCGATGTGCCCCTTCCTGACACGCTATATGTCTGTCTGTCTGTCTGTATGTATGTCTATGCTAAGGCAGCTGCAGCAGCTGAGACTGTTCTCTACTCTCAAACATTTTCCTAGTCCCGCCACACCCCGGGTCATTGTGTTCTGTACATGATTTCAATCTTTCCGCCTTGGCGCCCTCTCGCAACCCCTTTCCCCCCCCCACTCCCACCTTGTGTCTGTTTCTCCATCGTGAGGTACCTCTGCTCCCCCATCCGCTTGATCAGGTCGTCGAAGAAGCCCAGCAGGGGGTGCGGCTGACCACGGTCCGGGGGAAAACCCACCATAACCAGGTAGCGGTGGAGCTCGTCTGAAGAGGGATGAGTACGAATGTACAAATGTACGAACGTACGACAGACAGAGGATTGCAAACAGGGGACGTGTGGGACGAGGGGAGGAGAAGGGGGGGAAAGACGAACCACACACGATTGAAGCTGCTGCCAGGGCAAGAGTGTATCAAACGGGGAGGAGAAGGGGGGAAGGAGGAGGAAAGGGTTGTGACGCTACCCCCACATCCGCCACCCCCACCCCCACCCGACCGCACTTACCCTCCTGCAGGCGACCGCTGTTCTGTAGGATGAGCGCCAATACCAGCATCCGGACGGCCTCTTCGGGCTGCGTGCCCGCACCGCCGCCAATGAACTCGCAACGAAGCGCCGTCGGCAGTGCCGTACGTAGTACAAAGTACTGGGCGCCTTCGCCGCCATTGTCGGCCGCCACTGCCGATGTCGAAGCCGCCGCTCCCTCCGCAACGCCGCCGCCGCCCCGCGGCCGTACGACCTCCGCAATGTCGTACCCGAGAGCACTGATGGCTTTGTGGCGCGCCCAGGGTAGCCAGACGGAGCCCATCCTGGCTAGAGCACGCGGCAGTACGATATGTACGACGATCGGGGTTACGTTAAGGGGCGGTTATACATGGCGGTCAGGTACCAAGCACTTAAAACTCGGCACCTCCTCCACTAGCGCCGTACATTGCGGGGGGGGAGATCGGGTCCCAAAACCCCGTGTCCCCCCTCCTCTTGCGAAAGGATCCACTGGCAACGTGTTCCGTACTCCCCATAACCCTCCCCCCCTCCCCCACCGTCACCCGCGCACCCGCCCTCTGTAGTAGCCGGTACACTGTACGGCACACGTAACAACTACAAATACGTGCTAAGCGCGACCACCAGCATCTCGAGAGGCCTTTTCAGCAGCGGCCAGCTACTACACCCTCCCTCCCCTCTCCCCACTTTTTGTAATGTTTGTGGTTTCCCAGGACGGCCTTCACGGCGTCTTTGAGCTTGGCGCGAGGAACCGGGTGGCTAGGCTTGGCGCGAGCGGAAAACAGCATGTATCGCAGCACGGACCCCGCCAGAGCCTCCTTGTCCTGCGTACGGCATATGATGGCATATGATGTATGATACGACACTGATGTACGATACGAGCATTGCCGTGAAAAAATGCTTGTGCCCTGCCCCATACATCAGCAGCAACCTCACCGCCGCGCTTAGATCGCGCCACACATCGCATTTCTCTTTGACTGCCTCCCACTCGTCGCGATAGCGCTTCACCTGCAAAACATGTACACGGCGTACGACAAAGCATGAGCACGCCAAGGGTAAACAACCTTACAGCCCAAAACTTACCTCTCTTAATGTCTCTGGTCTTTCTCTCTGGTCTGGAAAAAGGGGAGAATCCTAAGGATAATCCTTTGTCGTTCGAAGAATTATCGCCCCACCTCATTCTGCTCCGAAACCCACACACATCTCTTTGCTTTTTTGCAGCTCAATCCTTCTTTGGAATCAGCAGCAAGGTACTGCCTTTTTTCCATTCCCCATCATCAACATCATCCGCCTTGTAATGGCCAAGGCCACGTTATCCCCCCCTCAATAGTCATAAGCCGTACCTGTAACCCCCTCTCCCACGTCCCACACAACTCCGCACACAACCCCATAGTCCCCAACCCCCCCGCAAGCCCCCACACTCACACACACACACCCGATCCCCTCACACACACACCTCGCCCCCACACTCACCAGCCGTCTCATCCTGGCCAGCTCCTCAGCATTGATATCCAGCGGCACCGCCGGGGCCATGTACGCACGCCGCCGCTGCGGAGTGCCGCCGCCGCCGCCACCGCCGCCGCCACCGCCGCCGCCACCGCCAGCTGCAGCCGGATCCTCTCCATCGTCACCATCGAAGCGCGGCTGAATGGGATTCCTGTTCGGTCTGCTGCCGCCGCCGCCGCCACCACCACGACTGCCGCCGCCGCCGCGGCTGGGGCGTTGACTGGAAGGAGCGATGCTGGAGGGGCCGGCGGCAGCGCCGCCGCCGCTTCTTCCGCGGCCTCCTCGCGGCGTCTGAAAAGGGGGGGAGGGGGGTGGGAGGGAAAGGAAGAGGAGATTGGTAAGAATGGAGTGGGCGGCTGGGGGGACGGAGAAGGCGGCAAAACGGAGCTCTTGATGGCAGCGATTCTGTTTTGTTGTGGTGCTGGCGGTTGGGATGGCGGCAGGATGGCGCTGAAGATGGCGGCGGCGACGGAGGAAGACCAAAACGCTGTAGCAACCGGTAACAACTGTTCCAACCAGCGAACCCTAACTTCCAACTAATTAACCAATCAACCAACCGAACTAAACCCCAATCCAACCAACCGACTGGCCCACAACCAGCTCATAAGCTTCACGTGCCCCGCTATCCTAAACAGGTAATACACACTCACCTGGGTGCCGCCGCCGCCAGGACCCCCGCCGCCGCCGCCGCTGCCGCCAGGGCCCCCGCCCCCGCCGCCGCCGCCGCCGCCAGGACCCCCGCCGCCATCTTCATCACTATCACTGATCAACATTATGACGTCGCTGTCGTTCCTGCCTTCCTCGCGTACGGCTCCTCTTCCGCCGCCGCCACCACCCCCGCCGTTGGCTGCCACCCCTGATCCGCTGCCCCGCCCACGGCCGCGGCCACCCCGACTTGACGCTCCGCCGCCGGCGGGGCCGCCGCCGCGACCCCTGGCTTTACCGCGTCCTCTCGCTCCCGCACTGCCGCCTCCGCCAGCGCCTTGGCGGCGCTTGCCAGCCCTGCCGCCGTCGCCGTCATCGCTAGCTTCCGGGTCGCTTCCGCCAGAATCCTCCTCTGACGACGGCTCGGAAGCGCCCCTTAGGTTGTCGCCGCCGTCGTCGTCATCGTACCCGTCTCTGCCAGCCTGCTGGTGTGCTGCGGTGCGGGGGCGCTTACGTGCTGGCCCATTGGCGGCGGCGCCGCTACCGCCGCGGCGGCCCCGGGGGCCGCCACTGCCACCGCCGTGTCTCGCGGCGGCCGCAGCATCCTCAAAGTCGTCGCCATCATCACCGCTGCCGTCCAACTACCGTACGGCACGGCAGGCGCATGGGGAGGAGTGATGATGATGCCAAAAGGGGGTGTTTGTTCGTAAGTGCCCGGCGTCAAAGTACAGGTGGACTATTTGCCAGCGCGGCGTTAGGAGCGATACCCTCTAAGCTGGGCCGAAAGGACGAGGCTGACCCAGTTTGTTGCTTGCTAGGTAACAAAAAATGGAAAGGAGGATCGTATGGGCATTGCCATGGGGGGATGCGGGAGGGATCTTGCGAAATGGGAAAGGGACCCGGGCCGAAAGCGAGGGTTGCGACGAGAGATAGGTGGGTAGATAGGCCCAGAAGGGGCAGCGCTTCCTCCCTATGCCGCGTTCTTACGCTATTATTTAGCCTCAGAGGGCAACGTCGAGAACGGGAGATATCGTTCAGGGACTCCTCTGCTCCCACGTGACACATAACCGCACGCTTACTTCCTCATAAGCTTCTTGTTCCATGTTGTTCTCGTTTGCATACGAGCGACGTTGCGCATTTGTGCGCTTGGCTTTAAGGCTCATGCCGCGCGTAACTCCACGAAGACCAGTCTAAGCTAAGCATAAACTATAAGCTAGGCAAATAAGCATACTTATCTCTTTGCCGCAGCATATATATACAGGTATAACACAGTTGTTAACTGCGGCACAAACAGAACAGGGCGTCTACGGGGGCTACCTTTAAAAGATGAATTAGCAGCTACTGACACCTAACGCCTTCCGCAAAAGAAGCGGGGTCCATTTTGCCAAGCAAATGTCCATGGGAAACCGGGACATCATTCTGCGATGAAGCAACGCATTTGTGCCTCCCGCCATTCCATACGGCACGAATGCGTACAAGAACCTTCCCAGGAGAAAAGGTTACCAAGCAAACACCTTTAGGAATATAGACAAGACAGTTAGTCTTAATCGCTGAACACTCGGTAGAATGGCGCGCAAGCGTCATGCTCAGCGACTGCATGCGTTGCTCAGCCGACTGCGCTCCGGCGGTGTGCTAGGCATCCTACGCGGGGTGCTAGAGCTTCCATCTGCATTTTCTTGCCCGATCGCAAAGCTTGCTGGTGTGCTGCGTCTGCCACCAGCATTACTTTGGGCGGCCATTACAGCTCTCCTCGGTAGCGCAGTGCTCGCTTTGAGCTGGATCCTCACCGTCCTCATCTTAGCTGTCACACGACCCCTTAACATCCCCCTCGAGGATCAGGAGCAGCGCCGGAGTAAGTGCAGCGAGCCATGCGAACGTGTCGATGGGGATGCCAAAACCGGTGCTGAGCTGGCCGGGCTCAGTCTCTCTGGCGCAGACCCGATCAGGAAGCGCTCTGGCAGCCCAGCCTGTAATGGCAGCGACGCCGGCGGCGGCGGCAAGACCTCCAGCCCCGTCACCAGCTGGCCACTTGGTGACGGCGCCGACACCGACGATGAGTACGGCGACGAGAGTGCTGGCGGTGCTGACGGCATCGCCGGTGCTGACCTAGACTCACTTGTTGAACGCGGCAAGGGGCACAGCAATTGGCAGGCGGGCGGGCGGCCGTTCTCCTCCTCTCCTGGGCGGGAAGGGATGAAGGACAGGGAGACCAGAGCCGCCAGCGTCGACAGCGACCGCGCTGACGCCGAACATGCCAGCCGTACCTCCGCTTGGAGGACCAAGCTGCCGGCGGCCCTGCCGTACATGGACGAGCAGCGTGCGGCGGAAGTGCGGCGCCATGTCAGCCGTTACGCGTCAGTTATCCCAGCTACAGCCTTCGAGGCCGCTCGATGCTGTGATGCGGTCTTCGGCCTGGGGCTTGACGCAGGCGGCTACAGCCGACTGCAGGCACTGGAAACGGCAGCTACGGCTGTAGTGATGAAGCAAGGAAGGGAGATTGGCGATGGCGAAATGGAGGAGGAAATGGTTTTAGAGGATGAGTTACCTCAGGAGGGCGCAGCGGCGCTAGGTCGCTTGGCGCTGCACACGCATTTAGCAAGGTACTTGTACGGCTTGCATGGCGGTACGGCATACACACCTGCCAACACGCCGGCGGCGGATCCGGGTGCGGCGGGCGCATGTTCGATATCAGCGGCGGACGAGGGCTCGCACAGGGCACAACAACGACGACCGGCGGCAGATCCGACGGCTGCTCCCGGAGCCGCCACCGCAGCGGCCGCCGCCGCATCGACGTTGTACGACATTGCAGTATTTGTCCGGACGGAGGTGCTGGCGGGGCTTGCACGGCGGCTTCGTTTAGATTTACTCATGTACGATGCGCGACGGCCGGGTTTCATCGCCGCTGGCGATGATACCAGTCATACTAGGCGGGGCGAAAGCAGCGGCAGCCCTAGCGTTTCAAAGAGCCGGCGGCGCCGCCGGGAGGTAACGGCTACGGCCAGGGTCGGCCCCGCCTCCGCCGCCGCCCCTGGCGCTCCACTGTCACCGGTGGCACTGGCGGCGGCGCTTCTCCGCCTGGTTTGGGAGGCCCACGTGGCCGAGCCGGAACGGGCCTGGCTGGCGGTTTGCGTGCTAGCCGGGCTGGCCCAGGAATTGCGGCTGGTGGTTTAGTGGTTAGGGTCCAACCGTCTTCTAACCACCACAGCTAAGAGCGGAGAGAGACGGGGCGGGAGTTATGGGTGCAGGGGGGTTGGGGGTGGCGCTAGGTTGGAATGCAGGTCGTGTAGTTGCACGGGGCTGGGGCCAAAGTCACCTGATGGGTACTTTCTGAAATTTATTACGTTGTCGCTGGAGATATGTCGTTATGAACAGTTACAACCGTCTCATGGGGGGGAATTGGGAGGTGGGGCTGGTGGGGTACCTTCGGAAAGGATTCGCAGGTGCTTACAGCATGGCCAAAAAAAGACATGTACGTTGAAGGTTTGCCCTATTTCGTGATATGGACTACGAACTCCCGTACACCGAATTGCCGGACCTGCCAATCCCCCACCTCCTCCTTTCTCTCTTACAACCCCCGTCCAAGCGACTTATCCGCTATTCACCGCCTCCAAACAAGGTTTGAAAATCGTTCACTATCCCGAATGAAAACTCCACACGAAAAGTAACACAAATTAACACAAAGTGACTAACTAATCAACTAAAAAAACTAAACGGTTCACTGAAAACTGAACAGGCCCTGCTGGACCTCCTTAGTGGTGGTGGTGGTGGTGGTGGTGGAGACTTGGGAGGCCAAGTAAAGCACAAACAGCTCTACCTAAACTGCGTTTGTACTCTACCACGACCGCTGCCACCCTTGCTACGGCTGCTGTTACGGCTGCTGTACAGCATTTCTCGTCCTCACACACATAATGCTACAGCCCAGGGCACCCACCTGGGCGCAAACATCCCCCCCTACCACATACACACACACAGCGTCAAAGGCAAAGAACAAGGGCCTTGGGAGACTGTTCGAAACTGTCCTATACGGGAAACCTTGTCATAAGGCCCCTCAAACCTCATAGTATTAAGAATAAAAAATACACGAGTCAAACCGCGGGACGAGCATAGGGCTTCCGTCATCTCTGTCAGCGTGATTACCATATGCATGCACGCGGGAGGGTGACAGGACGACAGATACATACATGCATAAAGACGCAGATGACATACAAACATACATGCATGCGTGCACACACGAGCACATACACACAAGCCAAGAAATAAAGATCTGCTCGAGTATCCGAAAGGAAACTAGGGAGGGATGGATGGAGGGAGGTAGACTCGCTGCCACATGTGCGACACACAACCACGCGCGGGCCCTCCCGCCTAAAACCCTAAAACCTTAAAACCCTAACTACACCCACACGTGGCCACTTGGGTTGGATCCAGGGTCGCAGCCCGCGTCGTCAATCTCCAACCCGTCGAGTCCGCTCTATCCTAACTTCCCATGCTGGTAACCACCAACAGTAACAACTGCCCTAAAACTAAGCCTCACAACCACCACTCTAACCGCCACCCGTGGGACCCCCGCAACATGCTCATCGGTGCCGTCGGTAATCTCGTCCATCCCAGTGCTCAAATGCATTGTTGTTGTACGGCATTGCACCAGTGATGATATTGTACGGCGCCGCCTGTGTCGCTCGACAGCCCGACGGCCGCAACGACTGCGCCTCCCGAAAGGATTGGCCAGCAAAGTGAGTTTGGTGCTGCGTTACGAATTGCGAGTTCGTCGGGACATCCTTGGGCAGCAGCGGCCCGGACGAGTGAGCCTTGAAAGGCGCCGGGGGTGGTGGTGCACCTGCTGCCAGCTCCGGTCGGAAATCGACCTGCTTCAGCGTTCTGTCATTGAAAACACGGGCGGGTGTCGCGACGGGTGGGTGGGTGGGTGGGTGGGTGGGTGGGTGGGTGGGTGGGTGGGTGGGTGACTGAGAGAGATGTACACGGCGGCGGCGGCGGTGGAGGAAGGGACGTAGGTAGGGAAGGTTAGGAGATACAGCCAAATTAGAGCGGCCAAACCGCCACCTCAGGAAGTTATTAGAAGAAATCCAATCGCAAGCGGCTCGAGGCGCTGTGTGGGGGGCCTGGGGCTGGGGACTTACGCCGATCAGGTGCAGACGAAGGGGAAAAGGGGAAAAGGGAAGAGGGTTGCAGCGGTTCGGGGGGCCCTCCATGGTCTTACCATGGTCTTACTGCCCACCCATCCGTAACCCTCCTTTCCAACCCCCCTTTACCTTCCCCCCGCCTCCCCTCCTCCGAATGCAACCGCCCCACCAGTCTGACCCCCCCTCCCGCTTCCCACTCCCAGTCTGGCCCCCCGGCCCCACCCTCAGCTTACTTCCAATCGTTGGGCTGTCCAGGTTTGGGGAACTGGGACACCGGGGGCCCGGCGCTCCTCTGTGGTGGGGTTGCGGGAGGAGGAGAGGAGGGGGGGAGGGGGTTGAGGGGGGGAAACCGGGGGGGGTGAACAAGGGGAGAAAACGGGAGAGGAGAAATTGGGAGCAAGAAGCAAGGAGGGGAACTTTTACTCAGCGATTTGCAACTGTCCTGCTCCTTTTTGCCAAGAACACGCAAAGTTGTGTCTCGGTGAGCTTGCCGTACATTCTCCGTGTACGAGCACGTACCGTTCGTCGGAAGTCCGACGGCGGCGGGCCGTAGTTAAACTTGGTTTCTGTGCTGTACGACCGCGGCGGCAGGCCCGCAGTCACGGGCCCTCCGCCCGCCGCCGCCGACACAGCAGCCCAACGTGACGTCGTCGCCGCCGCCGCCGCGGCCGAAGAGGGCCCCGGGGCGGCACCGTCGCCGCTGCCGCCAGTGGCCGCTGATGTTCCGGTCCCTCCCGCGTTAGGCACCACACCCAAACTCCAAGTCGACTACGCGAGCAAAACGGGAAATGGAAGAAGGGGTGGAGAAGATGATAACGCGGGGAATAGTAATGGGGGGAAAGCTGGTTGCGGCGGGGTTCGGTCATGCAAGGGGAAGTGCTTAGGTGGGAGGCTTAGGGGGGGGGAGGGTTAGGGGCATTATTGGCCGCCAAAAGAGTGTTGTGCCACCAAGCTGGTGGTTCAGAGGAGGTGTATGCGTGTGCGTGTGTGCGCGCGCGAGAGAGAGAAAGAGACAGCGTCGAAAGCTGAAGCGTGGGGGAAAGAGATCTGACTAGACGGGGAGCGCTGCTGTTACCGTTAGTGCTATTGCCGTTTCAGTTTCATGCGGCTGTACTGTATTTACAGTGGTTTCCATGCAAAGCGCGCTGAGCCATCCAACTAGAGCTATAGCCACCAGCCGACTTGTATCCCCTACGGGACAGAGCCAGAGATGTACGTGCATTCCCCGAGAGCCCTGCAACCGACAAGAGCAACTCCATGCTTTGAGTCATAAGCAGTGGATGGATGGTAGTGAATGAACGAGCTAACACCAATAGCAATGAGCACCCAAGCCCTGGCCCCTGTTTGGTCCGCCGATTGGTCGATCCTCGTACCTGCATGACAAACGAGCCTGTTCCTTTGTGAGGTTTCAACGACGGTGTGCCAGCTGGTTTTGTTGAGCGCATATCAGCGAGGGCGGCCGGAGAAACGGGAGGTAAGCGCCGCGGTGCCACATCCTGCACGCGCTCTATCAATGTGGTTGTCCCTGCCAGCTCCGCATAGCTTGCTCCGTGTTTCTTCCATATGGCTGGGTTCCCTCTAGGCATTTGTCACCGGTAGCGTTATTAAACCTTGGCTTAAGAGCAAGAGGATGCTATCCGGGGCGCCTGCTAAGGCCAGCAGACCTTAGGGTAGAAAACCAGCGTGATAACTATGCCCAGATATTCACTACGCAGGTGAGGATTGATGAAGTAGGGTAACTTCTGAAGGCTAGCTTGTCTTGCGCGGTTTTGGGCTTATCCGGTGACGATGGTAACATTAATAAGCACGCTGTTATGTCGATGCTTAATGATATATAGTTTGTTCGGCAGGGATATTTGAAGGTGAAACAAAATTGGATGTTCTCTTTGCTCGCCCCGTAGATAGAACGTACTTCGACACTCCATAGAGAGTGCATACAGCTTTAGCCTTGTCCTGTAGCTGCAATAAGGGCGCAAACGTTTTATTTCCATTTCTTGCGTAGATGGAAAGGCAGATGGCATGACGATTAGCTGGTACAGTCGAACAAGCGTTACCTGCCAGTGACAGCTCTGTGCTGAAGGTCATTCACGACGAAACCCGACCCGCCTGCCGACTGACACAAGCACTGTAACCTTAATATTGCAACTTCTGTTTGGTGCTGCACCGTTCCGTCTGCCCGCAATGGCCCCGAACCAACGGCCTATGGGCGTGAATTGCTTTACTAACGTGTAAAACGTTTGCGTTTACTGTTACAATTAGCAGCAGCTTCAGCAGCAGCCATATGAGCCGCCTCTAACCCTCTCCACAGCTCTCCTCTGTGCCTGAAGTGCACCGTGGGGGCCCCCATGGGAAGGCCCTCAGGCCCCTCCTGAGGAACCTCAGTAGAGGCCTGCCCTTCCATTCCTGCTGAGCCCCAACATGCAAAGCCAAGCAAGGGGATTGCGCCCAGGGGACTTCAGTCCATGAGGTTCTACCCTTGGGCATAAATAAATATATATACGCATGAAAAATTTTCCGAAGGGGATGCTACCTGAAAACTAGTGTTGAGCCAGTTTACCAAACAAGAGTTAAGAGGTTGCTGTAGGTTATAAGGTATTTGTCACCCTCGCTTCCATGATGCCTCCCCGCTGTGGGTGATAGACCAGCCCGGCTCAAGGAAAAGCCCTCGTCAGAAGACTGTTTCCAGACATTCCAGATACAAAGTCGACATTTAAGATGACACCAGTTAATTCATTAGAGCTGAAAAATAGGAAAGTGGATAAGTTGAACAGTACTAAAGGCCTCAAAATCTTTTAGTCCAGTCAGCGCAGGTCTCGGAGCAGGGCAGCGGAGATTTACTCCTCCGAGACGTTCAGTGGTTTACAAATACGCAGTTGGAATCTCGTACATATTATACTTCTGAGTTTCTAATTTTTTACATCAAAATGAGTGCTATCACTGGTCTCGGCGTCGACACGAACTTTGACGTCGAGGCCAACAGTGAGCCTTCTTGCTACATTTGCCTCCAGGAGGGGACGGCGGCAAAGCCTCTCCTAACCCCTTGTGCCTGCAAGGGTCGCCCGGTTCATCGAGAATGCCTGGCGAGGTGGCAATTACATTCTTCGGGAAGAAGGTTGGTTCCACCGAAGTTTAAGCAAACGGCGACGCACATATCTTCTGACATGTTTCTTTTGTCTTCTATCGCCTTGAACAGCGAGGAGCGTCAGTGCCGCTTTTGCTTCAAGCAGCTTCCGGACTGGCAAGCGACGCTTCTTGCAGGGTCGGAAGCCCCGGATGAGGACGTACCAAAGCCCCTTATGGCAGCGGTGGTGTTCAACAACACAGGTATGCTTAATTGTGAGCTAGCATCCGCGTGCACAGTAACATCACTTCCGGAGTTGTTGGCGTTTCGCAGTGTACAAGATCCCAATTTTGCCTGGCCCTGAGGGCAAAGCAGCCTTCAAGCGGAAAGTCAACGAGCTCTTTGGTCTAAGCAATCGCATGTTCGAAGTAGCCTTTGAGGTCAAGCTTGCACATGGTAAGACCAGGACTAGGGTTCTCCAGCTTTCCTATTTCCGCTAATAACACTAACGATCTGAGTGCTAACTGCATGGGCTTTTTACCACTAAAGCCTTATAGCATGGCTGTAATGCCAGTGCTCTGAAACCTTCATAAAGCGATGGTGTCGCAATATTTTTGCAGAGGACAAGGTGAACCTACGAGGCCTGAATGCCTACGAGGCTGCTACGCGTTGTGCGGCGATGTCAGCGAGGCGAGCGGCTTCGACCAATAACGAGCCTGTTCACGCCGATGGCGACTCATCGGCTGCAACCCCGACCCCACTGGCTGCGGCTCCACTCTAGCCCAGTAGGTTAATATTGTAGAGAGACGCTAGAGAGCGGGAGCTCCCCAACTCTTTTATAACATGGGTGCCTGTCTCGCATATACCTGGAATGCGGTGGATATCTGCTGCAACTTATGATGCTCGTATTTTTAACGACGGCGGCTGCGGCAGCAACCTCAGGGCGGACCCCTCTGACCTTCCATCATGAAGGAAAGAGGATTAGAGCGTGAAAAACACGTGCTCCAAGATCCAGGCTGGGGACTTCGGTTGAAAAATGTGTTTTTCTGTTGGGGTCACATACGCCGGCCCTTGGGGGTGACAGCTTGGCAGAGAGGGAGGGGCGATCCGCGTGATGCACAGCCATGGGTGCAGGGCACATGTACGGGTGGTATGTCGGACCGATACCTCGATGTACTGTCGTACTTCTTGACATCCACATGGTGGGCTCGCTGGGTTTCCACTTTCGCCGCCGTACAGGCTGGCTGGCTTACCTTTTCAGAAGTCGCCTTTTTGCGGGTCCCCTGTCCCTCTTCTGTACTCTCTCATCTGTACAACAAACAGGCGCGTCTCATCATGTACAACATACACACATTGCTTTTTGTCTTGATGTTGTATTTTCTGTGATGGTTGATGATCGTTGATGCTGTGTGAATGACGACAAGGTGAACACCTCGCGCGCCGCCAATGGCTCGCTTTGGTGTCCATGGCGGTTGCAGCGGGGGAAATAGTCTTAGGATCCTTCCCTCTCCCTTCTCGATGACCGTACGACCAGTGTACGATAATCATGAACGGGCTGGAATAAAGCTGGATATAAAGTTGTTGAGAGTACTAGAAAGTACAGGATAGAGCTCTGTGTTGATAGACCAGACCTTTGCAGACCAAGCTGCGGTAATTTCGAAGTTTTTGACGGACGCATCTTTCGGACTGGCGAACTGGCTCGTGCTTGAGGAAAGCGGCCGGCGGCCCATGGGAAGGTATCGCGTGGTGGGCGCTTGGTAAGCCAGCTGGCAAAAAAAAGGGTCGACTGTGAAGTGGCTGTGGCGGCAATGACAGCAGTCCTTGGGCCCCGCCGCCGCGGATGCACGGGGATCTCGGTGTTCGTTTCGCGGACTTTGAAAAGCGATATAGTTCTTACAGGGCTTTTAATGAATATAATAATGACAGTGTTGTCGTGGTGCAGGCAGGCAGGGGAATGCGAGGATGCGGTTGGCTGCTGCGGCTGCTGATAAAAACGCTATATATCGGTAATGGTTGAGGGAAATGGGGAGGCTAATGCTCTCAAGGGTTTCGTGGGAATGTAGTTCGTGAAAGGGAGCCAGCTCAGCAAAAGGGGGGTTCACGGTGGTGGGTGGCCACCCCGTCGCGGCGCTTCGTGTGACTTGTTTACACTCTTGCGATGATGGTGGCATGTCGCAACTTGTGTATGTGTTGAGTGTGTGCATTTCGAAACGAGGGGGCAAAGGCACTGCGTGATGGTCTTGGGGCCGGAATCGGTGCCCGTGCGGAAGGGGGGAAATTGATGGATCGTTCTAGATGGCTCCATTCTTCCACCTCCGTTGCCCTCTCGACGCCTTCTCTCCCTCTCTCTCTGTCTCTCTTTTTCTCTCCCTCCCTCTGTCGCTCGCGCGCGGAGTATTGCTAATCGTCAGGTCGACTTCCTGCTGTGAGGCCCGCTGCTGAGTAGTGCCGCAGTTGAGTTTCGTGATTTTGCGGTGTCAGTTTGATGTCAGTTGCCGGCCCCAAATCATGTCCTATGCTGGTTTCGGGGCAAAACGAACGGAGCAGAAGGAGGACTCGGGTTTCTTATCTTTTCATATGTACTGCTGCGTTGTTTGGGTGTACGGTTACGTGCATGAATGGCTTCTTTGGGTTGAGTCCTTCGGGTTGAGTCCTTGGGAACCTTCCGCGATATTTGGCAGTCTTTGGAATTTCCCAAGAGAAATTTCCCGGCTTGCCTCCACCGGCGGCTCCGACATCTTCATCGCGGAGAGCTCTGCTCCATATGTTATGGAGGACTACTGTTAGGAAGGGGCTTCCGGCTAACCGGCTGGCGATGGCGGCGGCCTCATCATGGCCAGCCGGTCCGTGTGAATGCCTCGGCGTGCGTTGCGTTCCTCCCGTCCCCCGGGGGAGACGAGAGCTCTCGTGCGTCCACTAGGGATCCTGGGGTCTGGTGGGGGACTGGGTGTTTGGCGTCTTGGAGGTCGTGGCCTGCTTGGCGTTTTGGGGGCGAAGGCTCGCATCCGGTTTTGTCAGGTTGTGATTTTCCCGGTAAGGCTGTGCCTCGCCATTTTTCGCCGACTCAGGATATTTTGATCCGCATGCCGGCTGAGCTAATGACGCTGGCATGGCTTGCCGAGTCAGCTCAAGGATAAGGCCCCAGCATGTATTAGCCGATCTGTAGAAAATGCTTTATGAGTGTCGTGTACCTATACCGTACTTTGCTCGGCTCGGCTGCTGATGGTCATAAATTTGTGAGATGGCATCCGCCCATACGGCCATGCCATCTTTACGAAAGCTTGTGCGGTTTGGTTTCTTTCCTGTTTTCGCCGGCTTGTTTTTTGGTGTTTTTTTCGGCTTGCGCACGCCGACCTTATTTTGTTTGGGCGCTTACTATGTAGCAGTATACACTTAGGATAATTTTTGCGTTCACAGGTAGGGAAAGGAAAGGCTTGGCAGCGGTGATATAAGTATTAGTCAGTCATATGTCCTTGGTGTCGAAATCGCAGCGAAGGCAAAAGGTGGAAAAAAAGACTTTTTCTTTCTTCCCAGGACATCACAACCGATGTAATGCACTTGTGGTCCCACAACTGGTAACGCCTGGCTGATGGGTCATATGCTATACATAAGGGGACGAAGTAGAGGTTGCGTGCTCGTTCACCGCGGAGGTCCTGGCAGGCCTTTCGCAAAACGTGGCTATATAGGCTGAAGCAAAAAACATGGGCGCCTCTGACTGTAGACAAAGCTCTCGTGCACAGCACTCCTAGCAAGGATGAGTGTACAGGTGTTAAATTTAAATATCCTTCCATAACAGCTTTTTACTATGCAGACTAAGAGGTGCGCACACAGGAACATTTTCTGTGTATTCTTCCCCCTAACTCTCCTCCCTCCCTCCTTCTTAGCACTTTCTCGTCCGGCAGGAGCCATAAAGCCCTCTGCCGCCATTATAACTAATTACCTTACCTGCCCCTGAGGGGACTTAACGCTCTCTCCCACAGCACTTAACAGCACCTATACCCCACCACCACGATACACACACACACACACACACACACTAATACCTTTTCTCTGAAACCATTGTGTTAGACAACTAGTGCAACACAACAAACACAGCAAGCAAAGGTTTTACTGTTAAGTTTTTGTGACAGTTCGTTGTCGCGCTTCCTTCTCGCCAGTAGTTCGGTCCGTTGGGAGGTGTAGCTGCCCTGGCTTGTTGTGTCACCTGCCCATGTCCTAGTCGCGCGACACCGATTTCGGGTCTGATTTGCCTTTTTAGGGTTTGTGGTGTTGATGGATGGTTACGGTGGCCATCAGTGTTAAACAAGTGTAGTTATCCGTAAGATAAGTGGAATACACACTGCAATATTTCTGTTTGTTAATTCAGCAGTGTGCTATATGGCATCATAGCCACATTGCACGGATTTCAGTCTGCCGTACAGGAGTTTGAAAGTTTGGAAAAGCTTACAACGTCCGTACTGCCAACGATCAACTGCTTCACTTTTTCTGTCATCGCGAACGAGACATTAAAAACAACTACGAACTTCCTTGGAAGGTGTCCAGCTCCCTCTTTCCCCTGCGACCAGTTACCTCCCCCCCAGCCGACCCGGGCTTTAACGCTGATGGCACGCATATCACACACCCCTTTTTCCCAGCAACGACAGCGCTTCTTTAAAACAAAGGCAACGAGGGACAACGCCCCAATCTTTTTGCCTTATCGCATGCCGGTTCTGCGTCCGCAAGTTCTCTTACTTCTTCCAAAGGCACACGCGCACTACTGCAGCAGCATGTCTGTCTGCCAGCGAGTCCCTAGCGCCCGCTACCACCACCATTGCGGCGCTCCCCCTCCTCCTGGCCCGACCTGAACGCCGAAGCAGTCTGTATGGCGGAGGGAGGGTAGGGGGAAGGGAGGGTACATGGAAATCAAGCAGAGGTTAACCAATCATCAAGGGAGGCTCTTGTATCTGTACGAGTCAGTTGTCATTCGGAGGGGGTGGAGGTGGAGGTGTCAGGTAAGCAACGGGGTAGGTGTGGTCATGTGGTTCTTGTCATGTGGACACACAGCACAGCACATGTGTTTTAATCCACAGGGGTTACCGCGTGTCTGTCTGTCTGTCTGTCTGTCTGTCTGTGTGAGAGCGGGCGCGGTGACAAACGGCGAAGCACCGTGTACTGTTGTCCGCGTGGTTTTTCAGCGATTACACATCATCTGCATTCGTGTCATCCACACAGAGCACATGTGTTAACCCCCTAAGTTGCAATCTGCACTTCTGGCAACCTAGGACAGCCTATGTATCCCAGGAGCGAAATCGACATAATAACGAGCGCCAACCCAACCAGGCAGACATACACCCCAGTAGGCAGGCGGCTGGCAGAGGTTAAGGCCTGACTTCTCGGGTTCAAATCCGCCTGCCGGCTCCTTGGATGTTTGAGGAGTGTTGAAATGGGAGGTGGCCCCCCATCATATGGACGATGTAGGACGTGATTAAATCAACTTGCGAGCTAACCAGGAACTAAGTTGATGCGCCGTTGATCCGCTAGATTTGGTTGGATGCTGGTGGTGAGTTGCCGAACCCAACGAATACATTCTGAAGTCGGATGGGGTGACGGATTAGGGTGCCCCTCTATCAGGGGAGAGCAGGGACTGCCCCGGGAAAGGGGGCCGCTGGCGAAGTTAACCACCAGGCCGGACCATTTCACAACTCTTGTGCCTGTAACAACATACGTACACCCCAACCAGCCAATCGGCCAGCTAGCCAGCAGAACCCCCACCCACCCACCTCCCCAACCACTCGCCCCGCCGCCCGCGCCGCCTCATCCCCCCGGCTGCCGCCCTCCGCCGTCGGGGTAGTGCTGCCCAGCACGTCGCTCTGCTCGTCCACACCGCTGACGCCCTGTTGCTGCTGCCCCTCTGCCGTCGTGGTACGGATTCTCTCCCCGGCCGCCTCGGCAGTGCCCCGAAGGCTGTCGCGCGCGCCGCGGAGAGACTCCTGTCGGTTGTCGGTTGCCGTTTGTCGGTTGCCGGTTGCCGGGAGCGCTTATTATTTGGGCTTTTGGCGACCCTGACTGTGACTTAATTAGAGATTTCAACCTCACGGCTACGAGTTAACTCTCCGTTTTTTATATTGCAATCTACAGAAGGCAAGCTTTAAGTTGGCAATATAGATTGAACACAGCTTTGTGCTATGTTGCCAGAAAAGAGGTAGGAACAGCCCTGGACATAGATTGGCCCATTATGCCGACCCATAGAAGCCGGCCATCACCCATCACCCACCCAAACCACCACCAGTGCTGCGTGAGAGGATTACGCGACCGCATTGTTTTTCCGTGGCCGCAAATGCATTTGGCACCTTGCGTGAGTTCCATCATAAGCCCTTAATAGGGCGAAGTCGTGTACTCGGCGTTTGGGTGTGGAAAAGAGTTCTACGTGCGAAACACAATTCTTGCACAAAGCCACCTTACACTGCAGCACCTGGCAGTGATAGATGCCACAGATACGGCCTGCTGTGTGCGCGAGCGAACTTGTACGGAGGGTGCGTCTAGAGCGCAGGAAGCGAGTGTGCTTTGCAGATTTGGAAATTTCTTGGAAATTTCGATTAAGTGCGACAGAGTACTTCTTGCACGCCAAAATCCGGACAGGATTCTGTCTTCGAGTGAGGTGTTTCCAACTTTGGATGAACCTTCAAAATTGTCAATTGAGGGTCTTAAAAAAGAGGGGGCGTTGGGAAAAGCGATACGAGGCCGCATGCAATATACCTTGCATAGACCTTTGTGCGTGTGCGTGACGTGTGTTTTGCCCTCCCTCCCTCAAGCCCTCCCGCCCTCATGCCCCATCTTGATCACCTTAGCCTGCTCGCCGGCGGAATGAACGGCCTCGGATGCGGAGTCCCGAGCCTCCCGAAGTCCCTCCCGAGCTCCCTCGCCGTACTGGGACATGCGCTGCCGTACCATCGCCACACACACACACGAGAAAACACACAAGAGGGACATCATCATATCAGACATCGCAACCATCATGCCCACGAGGTGTCTCCCCTCCTCCCGCCTTCCGTAACCAAACCCCCCTCCCCCCTCGCCCTCCCCCCTTGCGAGGGCCGTGTGGGGCGGGGGTTGTCAAGAGGCAGGAGCCCGTGCAGTGGGGGGGTCTCCGCTGCCCTTACCCGCTTTTCCTCTGTACAATGCTGTGCCGTACAACCCTATGCTGTCCGTATATACACCCCCGCACCTGCTTGGCTTGTTCCTTCATGTCGCTCGCCGCTGCTTTGGTGTTGTCGACGCCTTCCCGAGCACGGTCCTTGTACTGTCAGGCGGTGTGTTTGGAAGAGGAGTGGGGGCAGTGGGGAAATATGTTCAGCAAGCTGCCGACGTCGAAAGAAGGTTTGCAGGGTTTGGAAATCGTTTTGGGGGCCGAGGGGAGGGAGGGAGATGGTGTCGGAGGTTAACGTGTCGGGATGACGTGCGGCGGTGGTGTGGAGTTACGTGTCCAGGAGGAGAAAAGAGAGTGTGTATGTGGGTGTATGTGGGTGCGGAGGGGGATTTAAGGAGCTATGTAGTTAGGTGGGTGAACTTCACCCAAATGCGAAATCTGAGTACCACCCGCCCGACGCGGCCCGAGGGTGGTGCTAGCAGGTGGGCCGAGGGGGCCCGCAGCTCCGAGACCCGGGTCGGACGACTAAGGCTGTGCTAACCGAGGTCAAACCTCACAGCAGCAGCCGCAGCAGCAGCAACAACAGCATAACAGCGGTACGGCGGATGTCTTAACAAAGAAGAAGAAGTATATTATATATATTGTGTTAGGGTATGGAGATGAAGCCATACGGCAGTGATGAGGAACCGATGTCGTACCTCGCCCATGGTATGGCTGGCGGAGTCGGCGGCGCCCTTGAGGGACTCTTTGGCTCGTTCCGTCGCGTCATGGATCTGTGATGGGGGGTGGCGGGGAGGGGGAGGGGGTTTGTACGACAGTAGGGGGAAGGTGCGACGGAAAACCCCAAGCTGTTCCCCCATCCCTACGTTGACACCCGAGTCTCACGTCCTCTGGGCCGTCGACTAACGGCGCATCATGTGCACTAGCGTGTCTGCCACAGGGCCGCGGCGATGGCTCCTTCCCCCCCAATGTTTGAACTCCTTTCTTCTATTTCAATGCTGGACACACCGAGCGAGCCACCCTACCCGTCACCTCGTACAGCTTATCATCACCTTAAGACACGGACAAGACGTAGAATTAGGGAACGTTGGGAAGTCCAACGAGAAGGGTTGGGTGGGAGGAAGGGGTAGCAGTGCCAGAACGCGGGAAATGCAACAGAAGGGGCGATGTTCGACGCACCTTCTCAGCCACGCGGGATACGGTCTCCTTGATCTTGTCCGTGGTGCTGTCGGCCGCAGCGGCGCCGGATGTCGTTAAGCCCGCCGCGAACACACCGGGCAGCCTGTTTGGCAGCAGCGGCAGCGGCAGCGGCGACAGTGAAGGTGGGGCGCGGAGCTCGGCGCACTTGATTATCACCCCGCCATGATATCGTATACCATGATAACTGTCGTACAGTTTATCACTTAACGACGTCTAGAGTTTCACGCAACGGCAGCTCGGAGGAAACAGGAAAGAGTTTTCTTCGTCTGGGATTACAATCATTTGTTCGTAGTTGCGATTTGCCCAACCTGAACATTCATTTGCGTCGAGATTCATGCAAGGGCGAGAGAAAAGAGAGACAGGTTGCGGATGTCAATCGTTACCGTTCATCACCGATCATGCTGTGTCCCTCCCTCTTTCCTCTTCCTTACCGTTGGCAAGGCGCCGCCGCAAAGGCGGGAGAGATGGAGAAGAGGAACGCTCCGGCGGCTCGGCGCAGCATCTTTTAACGATTCCCTTACAGTTCACAAATAGGTGCACAGCAATGCGCTTTGTCGGAAATGGTGAATAGCCTTCTCCTGGATAGCCTTCTCCCCGTCCGTCAAGAGCCTACAGCGACATGAGGCAAGCCCCGGACAAGGTCAGGCCTGTTACAATCGGACATGTTTAGTGGAGCACTGGGTGCAATAAGGTTTTTTCCCTGTGACATGCATCTTGGACTGTTGCGCGTCGCACCGCAGGCGGTTTGGGGCACCGCGACGATCCCTCCTTCTACGCACTTCCTCTAGCACCGCACCTGAGTGTGTGTTTACGATGCTGCGCTGTGTGATTTAGGAGGGCAGGGAAAAATGTGGCGATGCTGGTTTTTTTTGTAAAGGATTTGGTGTTGGTGAACGGAGGAAACAGAGGGCACTCATGAAGTACTGCCGCAAAAGTGATGACCCATGGGTCCGCAACAAGCAATGACCTCATCAAAAGAGAATCTCTCGCGATCATCCCTATCTTTCGACGAAAAAACAGCAATGGCGATGGCGCCTTTGGGACCATTTTGTTTACCTGAGGGCCTCTCCACCCTAGTAAAGTATAAAAAGATGTTTAGTAGACACTACGGAATATGGGTCTTCATGATCTTCTTTCCACTTCGCGTCCGTTCACGTCTGTGCGGAAAGCAACTTGCGAGGTGCATGTAGTGTGAGAAAATAGTGTTGCATAGTGGATGGCTTCTGGGCCATTTAATGTTTCCGCAATGAGGCAATGACCGCAGGCGTTTGTTTCCGGGAAGAAGTTAAACGAGGGGTACATCACACGCATGCTGTGATGCTCGGCAACTAGTGCGCCCCGCAAATCTGATTCACAGGCTTCCACTTCCACGAGGACTAGGGCCGCGCAAAACCACCAGTCAGACATACATACATGCGGTTGTCACGTAAGGCGACAGCGGCACGCGCAAGCAAGCAACCTGCGTCCATCGGCAGCATCCTGCGGGGACGTCCGTTCCGTTCAGCCATAAAATGTCATCATCACATCCTGACCAACAAGGCTGCAGGTGGACAGAAGTCGGTCCGGTGATACAACAGCGTCATGCGTACGACACTGGGGGAATCGGTGCCCCTGGATACGGGAAATAATAACATACTCGTGGAGAAGCCTAGATCCCATCTTTCGGACGCGACAGTCTGCACGCCTGCCTATTCGTGTGCTCCCTGCCCCCTTGGCTGCCTACCAGTCTGTGTTCCTCTGTACCCCGGCGCAGAAAAATCTCGCCAGCCAGCGGACAGACAGAGGACACAGACCACAACTTCCAAACGACTTGGCAACGCTACGCCCATTCACACGACACAGCTTATTAGCCGCGCCTCGAGCAGCCTCTTCCCCCCTCATACATCAATACATGTATCATCATCCTGCCCCTGCCACTTCAGTTCGAAACAACTCGTCTCCTCTCTCCCGGAGGAAAACAACGCCAAGCGCCAAGCCCCAAATAGGACAGCCCCAACGGAAAACGTTGGGGGCGCCGGCGCCATTCCACCCCCACAATGGCACACGCAGCAGCCCCGCAGCCCCAACTCAACACACACGCACACCTGCATGGTCGGTTTCGAAAACACCTTCCCCTGCCTTCCCTCTCACGAGGTCGCCACGGCGCTTCACCTTTTTAACAGAAGAACACGCCCAGAATGCGTGAACACGTTACACGCGTGTTCACACGTCCTGGAAGAGTGAGATCGACGAGCGCGGCCGCTTCCCACGTCCCGCCGTCGCCACCGCACCCTCGGGGTCCACCACCCGCGCCATCCTGGCGGAGCTGTACGGCGTGGAACGCGTCGGCGTTCCGCCACCGTCACCGTTGACATCGTCACGCCCGGCGCTCACATCCGCCTCCACGCCGGCAGCCATGCTGATGACCGTGTCCACACCGCCGGCGCGGCTTGGACCGGCGGCCGACGTTGCCGGACGGCCGTTCGGCAGCCGACATTTGTCAACCACGAAACCGCCGTCGCCGCCACCATTATCGAGGGTGACGCTGTTCAAGATGCTCGCAGCGGCTACGAAAGTGTTGACGTTGGCGGCGGAGCCGGGTTCTGGCAGGCGCAGCGCCGTAACCCGTCGAGGGTCGGCATCGCGAAAGGCCACCTACAGGCAGACATAACGACAGGCGGACATGCCGGGGGCTCCTAAGAAGCAAGTACAGTGCACTTCAGGCGGCGAGCGAGCGCAACCGATGCTCCCTCCTGAAATAACACAGCATATCTCGTTCTAAGACATATGTCCTCCTACTCTTCTACATATCCTTAGAACCCATCTAATACTATTTTCAGGCAGTTTACTGGTAGTGAACTGGATCTGACCTTGAGCGTAAGACCACAGGAATAACACATACACGCACGCACACACACACGCAATCCCAGTCAACACAGGTGCTCACTTCACGTGCCATGCTGCTGGCCGGCTGCTGCCGGCCCCGCGCCGGGGTGGCCATCTGCACCTTGGACCCGAACCGCTTCCGGCACCAGGCTTCCAGCGCACTGCTGACGGCTGTCTGGTACCGCGTGTCGGAGTGGGGGGTGTACACGCGGAGGAGGACCTCCTGCAACCAAGGGGGGAAAGGGGGAAGAGCAGGTTGAGGACTCCTAGAAAGATATCCGAGTCAAACACGTCATAGATGACACAAGCCAGGTTCAATTTTTTATAATTCAGCAGGAAATGGAGTCTGGGGGTTAACAAAGCTATAGCGGATAGTTTGTAGCGGGTCTTTTGCCTTTGATCATTGTTCACTCGTACTCCAGTACGAGTACTCGTACTTGGCCCTTTTTGAAGCTGCGTCAGGCCGTCCGCGGTGCTTTGCTTCTTACCTGGTGATACCTGGGCAAGATCCCCACCACCTGGTAGGGATGCGCGTGGTGACCGGTCTCGTCATCCGAATTGTCAAAGAATAACACCTGCAAAGCCAACAAGGACACACCGCACATGTACACACACACATACACACATACACACATACACAAGTACTTTCAATTCCCATGCAATGCACCACTTCAAATAGGTAACTCAACGGTGTTTTCACGCTTCCGTTCGGGTGATATACACACAGATTTATTTTATCTCGCTGGTATGTACTCGCTCGGCCTGTTTCTATTCGGGTCATGCAAAAGGGATCCTTGAGGCATTTTCCTTGTCCTACCCCCCCCCCCTTCCTCCTTCTCCTCCTCCTTTTTCTCCTTCTCACATTGTCCACGGGGTTTCTGCCGCCCTGCGTGAAGTCGATTTTGGTCTGAGACACAATGACGTCATTTGGTCGGAGGGCGACGTCACCGCCCCGGTACGCTGACACCACCTCCTCGGCGGTGAACTCGCGGCTCATGTCCTGGGGTTGGGGGGGGGAGAGAGGGGAGTGGCGGGTGGGGCACTGGGTGGTGGAGCGGCAAGAGTGATGACAGGTGGGGTTGTCGTGTTGAAAGTTGTACCATATGTGCATTCGTAATGCACACGTCCGCGACCAAAGTTGCGGGTTCAAGAGGACAAGAGCATATGTGCGACAAGAGCACATGACCTGGCGTACGTCTGTCTGCCTGTCCGTCTGCCCAACTGTCGGTCTGGTCCTCTTGCATGTCATATGTCTGTCCGCTAGTGCTTTCTCTATCCGATGGACGCAGCACACATACGGGGACAAACGGGGTTAAAGGTGGTGCTGGCAGGCGGTGCTGACCGTCATGCGGCTGCTGCGGCTGCTGCTGCTGCGGCGGCTCCTGTTGCTGACCGTTATGCAGCAGCAGCAGCTGCGGCGACCGTGCGACCCGCGCTGCAGCGCCTCCGCCCTCTCTCACCTTCCAACGGCTGTCTTCCAGATACTCGTAGGGTACGACAAACTGGTTTCCGTACCGGTACAGATCTCGGCACCGCAGACGCCTGATAAGGGCCTGCGCTTTAGCCAAGCAAGTCTCTGCATCCGTTTCCAGCGGAGGCGCCAGTCGGCGGTGTACGTTGAAGTTCTCAATCGTCTGGGGAAGGGTTTGAAAGAAGATCGGGAGTTGGTTGGATCTTGAAACGCTGGAAGCGGGGCCCGGCTGCGATTCCGGTTTGGACACATGTGACTCAGACAAACATCGCACGGCAAATGCGGCAAATGCGTCAAAGTCACATATCTACACCCAATCACATGGCACACAGCCAATCACATGGGTTTCTGTGGACGTTTAAAGTTAACGGAGTGGAGCCCGCGGCCAGCAAAGAAAGCTCTCGCCGAGGGGGGAGTCGTAGGCGGAGGAGTGGGGAGGGACTCACTCTCAGCGGCCACATCGCGGTCGAGGGGCCAGGATAATGGGATGCCGCGTGTGCCGCGTGTGGCACGTGTGACACGTGTGACACATGCACGCTGGCGCTTTACGGAAGCCAATCGGACTGTCATCAGCCGTGGACGGGCCGCGGTGCTGCCCGCTCAAAATCATGCCAACTCCCAGCCCAGCGGTAATCAGCACCCATCCCACGAAAGCCACCCGAGAGAGCGCAGTTTGCTGGTTGATCCGCATCCTCAGAAGCCGCTGCGCCCTCCGGGCTGGGAGCTGCCCCGATGTCCGGGGGCGTCACCCTGGGCGCTGATCGCAGCGCCTGCAACACTCCGTTTGGCTGCCCCAAGGACACTGAACAGCACCCCCTCCTTACACGGAGGACAGGTAACCCCTTCCATTCCCTCCCTGCATTAGGCGGCACCTCCCAACCAAAGAGCCTCCGCTGACTCCGGGACCGCCATGGACTACCCAACCACCCAACACGTACCCAGGACTCACGTTTAGTAGCGAATCGTTCAACATACAAAAGTCCTGCGGACCGCACCAGCACATGAAGGTAGGTCAGTACCCTCATAATCAACATCACCAGCAGCGTCAGAAACAGCACCTTGCAAAGTTGCAAAAGCGGACTGACTAATAACTTTAGGATAGATTGGCAGTTACGTGATGGGTTTAATCTCAAAGGTTTTACGCCAATCGGCCGGCATATGCCTATTCTAAGTCCCCACCTCTTCGGCACAGTTCGGGAGCCCAGCGGGAGACAACAAGAGCCGCAACTGTCAACCCTGTTTGCTAACGCACGCGCATTCATCTACTGACCGACTTGTCCATACATGGCTTTGTATGGATTGGGATACAGCGCTTCAGACTCGGACGGCCTCCTCCCTCCTTTTCCCCCTCTGCGCTCCGTCCCTTTTTTGAACCCGCTCATACCCACACAGTGCCCTTCCCAACTGGCCCCATCCCGTTCCCCGCGCTTCACCGGCCCCCCACCTCGGCCGTGTCGATGTTGTCCGAAAACCTCAGCGCCTGGTCCGCCTCCAGCAGCGCGTCCACCACCATGAACTCCACCGCCTTGGTCTTCCTGAGGGACAGAAGACACAGAAAAACACGAGCGAGAAATAGCTAACTCGTTAACTAGAGACGCAACGGGGAGATGAAGGAAGCGAAAATCGCGCCCAGGCATTACCCCCAGGAGAATGCGAACGACGACACGTTGAGAGATGGGAGACGCCCGCGGCATTACCACCGGGCCCACCGGACTCAAACCAGCCACTGCTCCACCGAGTTACCAACAACAAAAAGAACAGCATGCTACTCTTAACGACCGGACCGCCAAGTGGTCACCGGCCAGACATGCAGCCGGACCTGTTCCGCTCCTTTCCTCGCCTCCCTAACCCGCATATCTATCTTTCGACAGGCAGACAGACATACAGACAGGCACCCGGCCCTTAGCCCGCGTCCGGTGGCGTACTTCCGGGTTCCTTCCCAAGGGGGCCCCTTCCCGCTCTGGCACATGCCTGTGTGTGTACACCTTGCGGTGCATGGACTCTCGCGCATGAAACAGGTCCCAGATGTTCGAGTACTCGGACCATTTGTAGGCTATCTGGTTCTGAAGCACCTGCGGTGGAGAGACAGCCAGTGAGCAAAAGGAGGGAAACGAGCGGCGTGAGTTTAAGTAGGTCCTGAGCACGTTGGGGCTGTGAGTGATGGCGGCTGCCGCCTGTATGGGCAAGATAATGCCACGGGTCGGAGGCACAGGAAAATTCCCACAGAAGATAACGCTCACAGAACAGCGATTTCGGCTAGCGCCAGCGCCAGCGTTGGAGGAGAGCAAAACGTCAACGTAAGCGGCAAAGAAAGGAAAGCGTGCATTGCCGCCAATAGCGGTGCAGGGTAAAGGGAGCAGCAGGAAGCCGTGGAGAGGAAGGGGGGAGAAGACGAGAACCACAGACGAGTGATGCCGATACCCGCGGTAGCCGGATACTCCTAGGAGGGGGGAGGTGTTGCGTGTTACCTTTGTCAGCGTAAGCAGCCGCTTGAAGTCGCAGCCAATGTTGACATCGCACATCATGGCGTCACGTTGCAGGTAGTCCACCTTGTCGACATCCACACTGGCGGTGGGGAGAAGCACGGGCTGAGAAGGGTGAGACGGAGGTATGGTAGCGGAGGAAGGCTACGACAGGTCGGGACTTACATGCAAATATGGGCAAGGGTACTAATGCGTGGGATGAAAATTTAAGAATTGGCGCAAGGAATGGTGAGTGGAATTGGCGCAAGGACAAGGGAACCCCCCCCCACACACACACCTCCCCCTGGATCGTTCACTGCCCGGGACCCCGTAATGCCGTTCTTTTACTTCCCCTTCTCCCAGCCTGATGTACTTTACTTGATGGTACATTTTGCATGTTGTTGTTTCATGTCCTCGTAAACGCCCTCCTCGTGCCGCATGTCTCGCCCATTCATATTCATCTAAACCCCCATGCACAGCACTGGCACTGCTGGTGGTGAGCGCACAGCCCCCGACTCCCCACGGCCCCGTTCCTTCGCTGGACGGCAATTCCCTTACCCGCATCGCTTATTATTGACAATGTCGAACAGGTAGCCTCTGTCTTCGTGCGCGTCTCCCTTTATGAAGTCGCTGATGCGGCGAATGTCCTCCCTGAGGCCAGGTGGTGGACGCGGCAGACGGGCGGGCTTTACAAAGAGAGGGTCAGGGGAGGGAGGACATTCAACAAGGTGAGAGAGGGCCAAGAGGTGAGGGGAGTCCGGACCCAGATGGGAACTGGACGGGGCCATAAAGACTGCAAGACATGGCGTCTTAAGTAAATGCATTGCTGCGCATATGTATGCGAGGCGAAATTCCTGACAGCTAGGACATATTCCGGATCCGAAAAATTTGCATAAAGAGCCAGGTTCGGGTGTTGCGACGACATGCGGCCTTGGCCGTGATGCTGCTTATTCCTACCAGTCTTCGTTCCCAGGGCCTGCTTCCACACGATCATTCCACGCTTCCATCCCGCACCCAGTCTCTCCACATACCCCGTTTCTCACTGTTCGATTCCCTCGATGTTGTTCTCGTCTACTAGGTACTCCAAGATGCGGGTGGACATGATTTCATGGTGCCTGAAAGCCGGAGGGGTTGTGTAACGGAAGAGGGGAGGGAAGGAGGGGGGACGGGGGGGAAAATGTCAAGCGGTGGAGTTGTGACCCCAAAGGCTCCCCCTCCCATTTGCACTCGCGACATATCTCCCCCACCCAGGTCCCGCAGCCCATGCCTCAGTGCGCAGGGGCAACCATCCACAGGCCCAGGCATCGCCTTGTCATACCAATCCGCCATGCGCCTTAGACGTACATCTTGCACCGCTCCCAGATCGCTGCCAATCCCGTGCGCCATCCTCTCTTCCCTACTACAGCATCCATAAAACCCTCCACCTGCCTCGGGGCTTCACCGTCCCAACCCCTCCACCCCGAAGGCTTCTCCTCCATCCTTTCCTCACGCTCCCCAGCCACCGGGACCCGAAACCCCGGGCCCAAGCCTCCAGGCCCGTGTGGACGGGGTGTGGACGGGGTCCCGGAGACGTCTCTTGTAGGCCCCCGGGCCCCCTCTTACCACTCCTTCAGTCGGATGTCCTCCTCGCTGTATGGCTCCACGCCCAGCCGCTTGCGACGAAGGAACTCGTACTCGAACACGTGGGAAAAAGGTCCGTGACCCAAATCGTGGCATAAGCCTGGTGGTGGCGCCAAATGGGGGAGCGACCCATGAGGAACGGGCTACAGGGAAACGGACACGAGCGGCAATGGTGGGCGTGGCTTCAGGTCTGAAGAGGCCTTTCGCCATCCCCCTGGCCCGGATACGCACCGGCTAGGGACACGAGCCGCACGTCGTCCAACTCCATGCCGAGCTCCCGGCCCTGGGTGCGGTAGATGCGGTCCGCCACTTCAAAGGCCTGGCGGGGAAGGGGAGTTAGTAAGCGGCGGTGTGAAGTGGCGGCCGTGTGGCAATGGGGTTGCGCGATGGTGGCGGGTTTGACGTGAAGCTTTGGACGCGGCGGAAGATCAATGCAAGGCGAACAGATGCCTCGCAAGCGATGAGGACGCTGTGAGGCATAAACGGGGCGCCAGAAGACTCAGTCATACGATGGCAAAGAGTGGAAGGAAGGCGGAGGGTGAAAACCCCAAGCGGCCCCAAATTCGCATCCCGAAGGGTGACAGCAGCTCCTCGATTTTGGGCTAGTGCCGCACATGCCCTTCACGCAATTGCGGCCGTAATGGCCTCGCATAACAGGCCTCGCGCCGCTGCCAAAGGCCACATGCCAATTACCTTGAAGGATGTCCCAAGTGAATGTTCGAAGCGCGTGTGTATCGCGCCGGGAAAGACCAGGTGCGTAAGGCCCAACTGGTGAAGATCACGTAGTCGCTGAAACTGGGGCGTGTCGATGATTGCAACATTAATGGGATCCAGCCTTGCCGGCCCGAAAGGACACAGCAGTTTCATGAGGGAAGGGGGCAGGCGGGTCTGCGTAAGCTAAGGTTGGAAATAGCTGGGGGCCTGGGACGGATTGCATATTCTGCGGGAGGGGGATGGTGGGGTGCCGGTTTTGGGTGATGGGGCGGCGCCATGGGCGGCGTGGATGACGACGTCGCTTACGTATCCACGCTGCCAATTAATTGCCCCTGGGCCCCAAAGCGTAGTGCTGCTGACAGCGCCTCGCAATGCAGAGAGGTAGTTCATTTTGCCCAAGAACTCCCTATTCGTTAATTAGGAAGAGAGGTTGTCCCATCTTAGCAGTCGCGTTCATACCGTTTCAGTTACACAACCATAGCCGTGTGACACGGAATAGGAGTTCTGGACCATGCACAAATTTCTATAGCGGCTTCCTGCAGACCTGAATGTTCCGTGCACAGGGTCGCTGAACACTTTTCCTTTGGGTTCCCGACGTCCTGTCGCCGACCGAGCCGTCGCCTTGGGCCGCCTGCTGCCAGCAGCTACGGCCATGAAATCCGCTCCACAGCCGCTTGCGACTCCAACAGCATCAAACGGACTGTTCCCTGTCGGATATCCACCCTGGCGAGCATGTTGTGTATGTTGCGGTTCTGAACCAAAGTTGTAGGACGGGAAGATCAAATCTTCATGCTGACGCATGGCCTCTTGCGAGAAGACTACCGCATCCTGATCGTCGTCCATGCTGATGTTATGCGCGATGTCAGTTGGCCATTTATGTGTGTAAGCTGCCTCCCGCTTTCACCTAGGCACTGCGCCGATTTTCTGTACCGTAGAATGGTCATCGAGTGATTAGCACGAAGTCCCGATGTTTAAAAACGGTCATAACCGCACAACGCCTCGCGGGGCTGTCGTGCAGGTCATGGCAGTTTGAAAATGCCGCGCACGCCCTGGTGTTGTATAATAGCTTCATGCGATAATTAGGTTAAACTATAATTTGTAGACATTTGTACCAGTAACGCTGTTAAGAGGGCTACAAGTTTTCCAAGGCAGCGCATAGCAGTTTGACATGGGCAAAAAGAAGGGAAAGAGCGGCTCCAAGGCACCCGCTGCTGCGGAGAGCAATAGCCCAACTGCCCAGGCACAGGATGCCGAAAGCCCGCCAGCCGTCGCTGCTGAAGCGTCAGACGCACCATCCCCTGAACCCTCTATGCTGGACGCAGCACCAAGCCTTGACTCCCGCCTGGAGGCTGTAAAAGATTCGCCACAAAAAGTCAGCAGCCACTCTTTGGAAGTGGATGACCTCCGGCGGGAGCTTGACGTTTGCAGGAAGCAGATCGCTAAGCTACAGGCCCAGAACGCTGCTCTCGCCGAGGAGAATCAGCGGCTGAAATCAAGCCAAAGCTCGTCTGTTATTGCCCAGGTTCCAGTTGTGTCTGCCGGGCCGGACTTTGAGGCGCTGACACAGCGAATTGCGGCCGTAAGTACTGGTTGACCATAGAAGTTCTCTCCTTTCCGCACGTAGGTATTTCACTGCAGTACGGGGGGGTTCCCCTTAATACCACTCGATTGGTCGTCGACTACAGCAACGAAAGAAACCTAAAACCCGTGCTCAACATGGGTTTTACTGCGTGATTCCGTGACAATGTGATGTAAGCTAACGGCTTTGTGTCGTTATTGTTTCCCTTGTGCAGCTCAAGGCTGAGCAAGCGGAGGCGGATGCTGCCCGCGAGGCTGCCTGGTCCCAGCTCAAGTCGGTCGTAGCAGACATTGCGCGCCTTGCGGCGCCAGATGCTGTCGTCAAAGCAGGGACGCCCACTGCGACGAGTAATGCTGGCTTCGGCGCGGCGGCCTGATAATCCTGACAGCGGTCGTGAGTTGTTATGCGAGGGTGCTATTGGTCATTGCAGTTAAGTGTAGGATGTGTACAGTTTGGTAGGTGACACTAGCAGGCGACTGTAAGGCGTTTTGCAGGTGTCGATAAGCCTTACACTGCTCCTCGCATCGTGATATTCTCACTCCCTGTCGCTAGTCGTTTCGGCCGAGTTGTGGGTACCTGGGGAGCGCTTGATATTTACTTGAGCATTAACACGGACAGCTAGGCGTGGATTACCAAAGTACAGCCGCAGTAGCATGGCTGCGCTCTCGGAGTCCAGCTTGCATGCCTGCATAGCAGGATTTGTCAAGGAATCATGGGGTTAAGATTCATAATTAATTTTACACAGGTAAAGCGTGTGCAGCCTAACCTCCTGAATGTCGGTCAAGGTTTTGAAGGGCGGGCGTTGAAACACGATACAGTGGCAGTGTCTACACAATAGGGGTTACCGGAAAAAGACGAAGGATGGCGTCCTGACCAGAGTTACTAGTCGTGCAGGGACCTGTACTCACGCACCTGTTTCTCCTGTCCGGAGAGGCGGTCGGTCCAATTGTAACCTAGTGTTTTCATGGTAGCGCGAGTCGTATCCTTTTCGTCTGCATTTCCACAGGGGTTCCGGGCAAGGACACGGCACAAGCAAGCATGAGGTCCCAGGCGAATGGGGTTCAAATCATGGTGGCAGTGTGCGCCTGATTGTTTGCTATGCCTGATTTGGTTTGTCTGCGGGCAACTCCCAACCCATTTGGACTACAGCAAAGGCAATTAGGTATTATTGCATAAGCTATATCGGATTTCAGCGCCCACGGGAATCGATGCTTTCGCTGGCACCCATCCGTACTTACTATAAAGATACACCGGGATGCCATGCTCCTTCGCCATCAGTGCCAACGTATGTGCTAGGTTGCGGCATCTCGAACCCTGCAGCGCAGCTTATAGAGCAGCGGCGCATACATGATCAGCACCGGAAACAGCCACCGTGGAGAAGCCAGCTTGTGCATACACAAACCAGCTTGCCAAACCCACGGCTTAAATTGACACAATGATCCGGGTATCCTACGAAGTCTAGACTAACAAGTCAGGTCGTGATTGTCAAGGGTAAGCCCACCCAGCAGCGTGTGACCGGGGCTCCATGCGCGTATATGGGCCTAAGTCACAGATTAGCATCGCAGACATCCCGTGTGGCCGCAGGCAGTGGATCCCAACCCCGCTAGCTCACCAATCGGGAGTCCGTGTGTGGCTTGACGATGCTGCCCCCTGGCTGTACGGGAATGCCCACCACCATGCCCTCTACTCTCTGCTCCAGCGCTGTGGCAAGTACTTGACGGGCCACATCTGACAGCTTCGATGTGCGGAGAGAAGGTATTGACTGTGGGCAAGGACCGCACGTAAGGAAGGGTGGACGGATGCACCACACGCTGCACCGGGTCGATTGCTACGAGATTAGGAGCGTGGAGAACTCCAACGACTCTTCTCTCTTCGGCATACAGAGCTGTATCAATGTAAGACATCCCATCCACCCCATAATTATTGCTCTAACCAACATGTACTTTGTCGGAAGCCGCCGCCCGAAGCCACGTTCAAGCTGGACACAGGTCATAATCCGCAACCCAAGGACACCATTCGGTACTCTTAAGAGCTCGAAAAGCAGGGTGGGCAGACGCTCTCATGGCTCCTGCCGCATTGCGTAAGGTGCATGCAAGCAATGTGAATGGCCGGTGTCCACGTCATCGGCAATCGGATTCACCTTAAGAGGGCTGCACCAACCATTACGCCCCAGCGCGAGGCCCGTTATGGAGGTCCCATAATCAACGCCGAGCACGTGCAGGGGCGGCCCTGCGACAGATGCAACGTAGTACTCATGCTGCATGCGCACGACGGTGGCAATGGCTTCCTGGCATGTTATAATATGGTCCTTAAGGGGAGTTCAGCATGTGGCCCTCAAGGGGAGCTGTACAGAGCTGCCGGCGGCAGCCCAAGTAGGACTGTCGCAAAGCGAGGCCCATTTAAGGGGACGACTCGGAGCTGGTGGACCCAGGTCGGGGTTTGTTTCTACGGCCCCTTTATTCCTTGCCCTCATTCATAAAATAACCATGCATATCATTCCCACCGTTTGTTGTGCGGCCAGCGTTTGTCAAGGGGTCTGGCTTGGGGTTAGTTGTGTCGGGGACTGGAGTTTGCCCGGAGCTTGTGGCGGCACAACGTATGGAGTTCAGGACGGTTATGCAAGGGCACGCCTTCGACGCGCCAGCGCCAGCGATTCTAGTGGTTTGCGTCCTAAAATGGGTCATATGCCATGACGCCCGAGGCGTCGTTGCCTTGTTACGATTTGTGTACATCGTCATTCAAACATCCTCCGCGTCAATCCTGCCACAGTTGCATGTTAAAATTTCATGTATGTCTACTGGCACAATAGACGCTCCGAAGCTCGCAACTTTCACTCCGCAACTCCAACTTTATGCACACATCTGTGCGAATATACAAGGTGATTTTATACCTGTCATAACTTAAACCACGGGCTGCCTCATCACAAGGGTGCCAAATAGCGCATGGTTAAGGCTGCATCGTCGTAGGCAAATGGGCCCTTACCTAAGTGTTCAGGTATTGGCAGGTATGTAACTATAATCACTTATAACTACCGAACCATCACCAGAACAAAACTGCTTGACTGCCGTACTTGGAACTGTAGCTGCAAACTTCCTTTCATCAGTTGCGAGAAGATACACAGCGCAACATATACCCACTTTCAAAGGCACATTATGTAAATTGCCCAGCTCGAGGGTTTGTTTCAGCTCACCCGTCAACAGCTGCGCCGTCAAACATTGTAGAGTTGTGGTCCACGAAACACTCTGCAGCGGTATCTTGGCCAGCACTTCTTTGACATCATCTTTTCTGTCACGTGGAGCTACATTCCGTGGGCACCGGGGTCCTTGCAGGTGCGTTGCAGATGCTAGAAGTAGCGATTAACAGGTCGGGCGGCAAAACCAGTTTCTTGGGAGCCACGAAGTGATTCCGCTTGTTGCTAGGAACGATTAACTACTGATCCTGTTTTTAATCCTGGGACGACTGCCCAAGCACGTATTTGCTTGGCGACAGCTCTGCGCGGGTTCCTTAAATAACCCCCCGGAAAGGGCATATAGTTTATTAACGTATCGTCGAGCTTGTACGGTTTTAAGTAGAATTGCTGTTCACTCCGCAGCTAACAGCCCCCCTCCAAACGCAGGTCCGACGTGAGGATGGGGCGAACGCCCCTCCAGCTGCTAAAGTGCAGCGTGGCCCAACTGCTGTTAGCTGCTGCGTTAGCGTGGACGGGTAAGCACACCCGCACAGGGTCAGGGCTTATACCAACGTATAATCGCGTAGTGAATACCCTTTGAAGAGGAACTGCACTAACGGCGTTGTACTTCCATTGAACCATCCCATCATGTTCTTCCCGCCTGCCATCTCCCTGCAGTTTCGGCGGATACGGATGCGGATCCAGAGCTTGGGGTAGCTGCCACGCTGCCGGGCGCCGCGGATGTAGAGGCGCTGAACAAGTTCCCCTTCTGCCAGTGCCAGGATTACCGGTGCTCCTCGGCACCGTACCGCCTTAAGTCCATCCCGTCGCCAACCAAGCGTTCGGATGAGCTATGCTATCTGATAGAGCGCGTGGGCTGCAGCCAAGCCAACCCCTGCTGCAAGATCCTGCTGGACAGGCTCGGCAAGGTCGAGTTTGCCGTCAGTAAGTCGCCCTGAGGAAGCACGAATTCTTTCCTTGCTAAAACGACGAAAGAGCCAGTAGAGCCATGGGAACAGCACAATCCAGGCACATACGTCCACCCTGTAGTGTTTTCCATAGAAGACGTTTTCATATACATCTGGGTCAGGCGCAGGATGAATGCTTATTGGCTGAAATAACTGCGAAGTTAATAGGTATGTCTACAACCCATATCACAAATCGTCTACGGATAAGCAGGGTGTCGGCGTTCTAAGCCAGGAAAAGGGCGGGGTCCCTCTATATCCGTACAGACCAGTGGCTTAAGGATACCGAATGTGGTCTGTACTCTTGACCCCTCTCGTGCATAGTTATCCCCCCGCTTGCATGGTTATACCCTCCCGCTGAGGCTGAGCATCGCTAGGCCGCCCCTGCTGGTTTGTTAGCTGGTGCCTACTTACCTCCTCGGCGTCCACATTTCCCGACCCCTCGCAGACAAGACCTGCAAAGTTGACTACGTAGCAGCATTTGTCAACGGGGCCCGCTTCAACTCGTTGTTCGACACGAATTTTCCAGACGGGAAGATCCGCATTACACCACTCGCTATGAATGTCACAACAGCCACCAACACCAGCCTTTGCTTACGTTTCAAGCCTGGCTCTGCTTGCGCATCGTACAGCTCTCTGTGCAATACCGCCGATGGCGCGTGCACTTACGCTGTGTTTGAGAGCAGCGCCCACCAGTGCTGCCCAATCTGTTCTCAATCACTACCCCCGCCACCACCGGGCATGCCTCCGCCAACGCCACCGACGCTGCCAGCAGTGCCTTCCGGCCCATCTCAACCGCCACCACCTCCTCCCCCACCACCGCCACCGCCACCACCCAGCCCGCCACCGCCACCACCGCCGCCGCCGCCTCCGCCGCCTCCACCACCACCGCCATCCCCTCCGCCGCCGCCGCCGCCACCGCCGCCACCACCGCCGCCGCCACCGCCACCCCCATCGCCGCCGCCGCCTCCTCCGCCACCGCCGCCTCCGCCGCCACCACCGCCGCCACCTTCGCCGCCTCCCCCACCACCGCCACCTCCACCACCGCCGCCTCCCCCTCCGCGCCCACCGCCGCCTTCCCCTCCTCCACCGCCGCCACCGCCACCTCCGCCGCCACCGCCCTTCCCTGACGCTGTCCGTGCCGAGGTCCAGAAGTGCGACTGCATTTCATCCCTCATCACAACGACATCGCGCTTCCGCCTCGACTATGTCCGCTCCATCCCTACGCCCAACCAGGTCATTTACCACTTCAACCTATACGTTGTCAGTCCAGAAGACTGCTGGGAACCAGGCTACCGCTATGGCAGCTGCTGCAACCAAACCCTGGTCAACATTGGGCTGAGTCTGGTCAGCTCGATCGCGGCGGACAAAGACGTTGGTAACGTGACTCTGACAACCGACCTAGGCTTTGAGATGACGGTGTCAAAGCAACGCACGGATTGGGGCATCAAGCTCTACCCTAATGACATCACCCAGGGCCGAAACTACACACCTTCGCTCTTCGTGACCAACTTCACGTCAGGGAAGCCCTGGTTGCTGTCAGTGCCCATCCGCGTGGACGCCACGCCAGCACCGAAGGCAGGCATGTGGCCCTGCAAGCGGTCGGCCTTCCTGCCTAACGACGACCGAGTCTGCGATGTGGAGATTAACGGCTACCAGACGCTGACTGACGAGCCGACGGTCTTCCTGGGTATTGAAGCGTTTGATGTGCCTAACTGCTGCCCCCTTGGGGTTGTACGCTTTGGCCATGACGACACGTGCTGCGTGGACAATCTGGCTGAGAATCCTTACAGCCTGTCATACAATGGCTCCCGTCATGCGGCGGCGCCCAACCAGGACGACACGGTGTTTACGTTTCAGGTGTCTTACAATGGCGCTACCGCCGTCAACGTGCCTGGCGTCAGTAACGGTACACGGCCCAATTGCTCGGTTTCGGAGGTCGACCAGGTCACGCTGTTTGTAGCGCCCAGCGTGCTGGACTCAGTCTATAAGGTCACGGTCGACGGCGCGGCGGTGGACTGGACGCGCTCTAGCAACAGCTACCAGAGCTGGGTTCGCGCAATCAACCTGTACAAGACCAATCGCACGCCATCTCTCATGTCGGTGTATGTGGCAGCTGATGTGACGGCTGAACAGCTGTGCCCGACGCGCGTGGCTGGATCCCCGTTGTGCGAGTATGTGTTTAAGGGCGCTTACGACGACACGGCGCGGGAATTCACGTGCTGTCCATACGGTGTTGCGCCGGCCAGCGCTGCGAGCTGCCCGGTGTAAGGCGATGAGGAAAGCGGGGATGGGCGTTTACATGTGTGTACGTAGGTGCGGGCATATAGAAACAAGTGGGATCGGGGCTTGGTAAGAGTGATTGAGAATGTTTTGTAGTTAAGGTCACGGATTTGTGAGCGACTAGGGGATTTGCACGATGCTGGATAGGAGGAGTACTAGGAGAGGGCAGGGTGCTACAAGCGTGTCTGGGGAGGGTTGCACATATCTTTCCGTCTGCAATTGGAGCAACAGGGAAAGACAGGGTTGCTGGGTGGAGTCACGTCACAAGGGAATGCTACAGCATGCGGTGTTGGATTCGCGCGACCAACGTAGAATGTGGTGCAGAATGATTTTAACTAGCCGGCGAAGCCGGATTTAGTAAGGCAAAAAGGTTTGCAAGGCGTCTAGATATAGGTTTGCGTGGTCCTTAAAATGGTGACTATAACGTAGTTTGACGCCGTTAGCAGTGTGGCCTTGGCGTTTAGGTAAACGGACATGCGGTGCCCCTTTGCCGGCTGGGTGACACCTGATCCTTGCTGCTCCTAGTGAGCCTTGCACCTGGCCAACAACGTCATTAGGGTTGGCACCTGGTTGGGAATGGTTGCGGTGTACCGTCAGGACCAGGTCCTCGTGTGCTCGAGTACACCGAGTTCCAGTGCCGCCTGTGAACCGTCCGTTTGGGACTGCTTTAACCCCTGATCAGTGCACTCCCGGCGGCTTAAGAAGGGCGATGTGTAATTGAGCATCCGTTTTTAGCTTATGTAACGGAAATCTCTCCATAACAGATTGGACCCATGACAGGCGGTAACACACTCCATGCGACGTTTCCCCGTTCCGGTGACCATGCAGCCACCCCCCAGAGAAACCTCGTTCATGAACAGCTCCGGACCAGCTGATCCTTGGCATTCAGCAACCCTGTTATGAGCATTGCAGCATGCCGGACAACAAAGACATCGCCGTACATCGGCGGTTGGTCTGCTGAACAAACGAACCGTACTGAAACGCACTAAGGCAGTAACAAATGCTTTATTAGTTATGTAAAACTTAGATTTTTACAAGGAACCGGCATCTGTCGACAAATTGAAATATCGTCCCCTTGTGCACGAGTGGGATACCTCCGAAACCTACCAGTCTTTTTGCATGTACGCCTATTAGCAATATATGAAACCTTATATAACATAGGTTTTAACGATGTGCGGTCGCGCGCGATGCTCCTTGGCGCGCGAGGCCGTGCTGACGGCCTCCGGAGTTCCTGAGCAGCGATGGCGCAACCCAACACAGTACCGACCATCATACAACTGCAGTCCTGGAGCCTGGCTACCTGTCATGAAGCTTGGTTCAGACGGCGCCAGAGAAATACACACGATGAAGTAAGTGCCGTTAAACGGCAGTTGGTGGCCGTACGCCCAGTCGACCACCATGGCTGGCTCGGCAGCATTGGCTTTCAACGCAGAAGCGGTGGTGGCTGGAATGACCTGCTGTGCCTGAGGTTCCATGGTGGAAATTTTCTGCAACTACGGTTCTGGAAAACGGGCAGGCATGGGTTACCTCTAAAGTCTGATTGCTGCCTTCTTCCCCGGCTCGTTCACCAACTGCCGCGGTGCCTTCCCCCCAAACTCCCTGCCACCGCCACGGGCTTCCCTTGACCACACTAATCCCTTCTTCCACGAAGAAGAGTACTCCCGAACCAAGCCAATCATTGATGTGCGCGCTTCTTGCAATTTGGCATCGCAAGCATGTTTAAAAGACTGATTTGTATGGCTCGTGAAACGTTCACCTTTCCTCCAACAGACAACCTTCCTTCCGTCCCTTCCGTCCCTTCCACCCCTTCCAACCCTCCGCTCCAGGTGGGGTTTGGTTCCCTCCTTCACGCGGCTGGCTCCCGGAGAGCGACCCGACCACTACCGCATGTTTAATGCGCGCTGCGAGGGCCTGACCAGCAAGCCCGTGTTCAGTCGCCTGCTGTCTGGGAAGAGGTGCGGACTGACAGACAGCCTGGATGACCTGGCCAGGGGCACGGCGGGGCTGGCTAGCTTGCGTGTGCCTAGCACGTGCGCTAGCTCCCCATGTGTGTGTGTGTATCTATCTATCTATCTAACTATAAATGGATCGATCGATGCATGGTTATGCATTTATGTCGATTGCGTAATTTAGAAGGGAATTTACCATTTGCGCGTTTGCGTGTCTTGCGTTTTCCGTGCTTTCCCAAGGCTTTGCATGTGCGTGAACAGAGTGTGTGTGTGTGTGTGTGTGTGTGTGTGTGTGTGTGTGTTTTGCTTGTGCACATTCCAGAACCCATTACCGCTGCCTTCGCCAGGTGTGTAGTGCTCCTGGACGGATTTTACGAGTGGCACAGTCAGGGCGGTGGAGGCGGCGCCGCCAGTCGCAAACAACCGTACTACATCACCACCGCGGACGAGCCGCAGCAGCCAGCCATGTACATGGCTGGACTGTACGACGTGTGCCACGGTGAGGTGGTTGCGGCAGTTGGCGCAGTTATGGTTAGGTTGCTGCTGTTCCTCGTGTACAAGACATTTACACGAAGGCAGGCCCCCTGTGGCGCCTGAGTCCCCGGCCTTCCGGTAATGTTAGGTTAGTTCCTCACCTCGCCCTCGGCCCTCATCCTCCTCCCCCAGCCCTCCGGCCTCCGCTCTCCTTATCTTCTCCTGGACTACCCGTCTATCTTTGATATCTGCTCCATTCGCCAGTGGTTCGTCTCAACCCCGCTCTCCGCCCCCCGGCAGACCCCGATGGCGAGCCTCTTCACACCTTCACCATCATCACCACCGACAGCAGCGAACCCCTGGTTAGTCAGTCTGTATGCATGTCAGTCCATCTGTTCGCATGTTATAATCTGGCGTTGAGGATCCGCTGTTTTGCCCGTGTTAACCCTAAGTTAACCCTTTTCCTGCCCCTCCTCCTCCTGCCCCTCCTCCCCGCACCCGGAAACCCCCACACACAACGCGAACAGACCTGGCTGCATGACCGGATGCCAGTCATCTTGACCAACCCTGAGGTATGGAAACCTGTGTAGAAATCTGTACGGCGGTATGCGGAGTTGTGATACTATATTGACGTTTTGCATATCGTCAAATCAACCCTTCGTGTGAAGGGAAATATAAAGCGGGTCGCAGAAGGGAGGGCTGCACTGAAGAGTATGGCATCTGTTGTAATCAAGATGCGCTTTGGTGCGAGTACTGTGGGGAAAAGACGACCCACGAGCGAGTGAAGCTGCTGCCAAGGAAAGAGTACTGTTGGGAAGGGGAATCGATGGCAGGGATGGATTAAGAATTAAGGTTGATAAAAGCGCTGTCGCGCATGCAGTGCTGCTGCATTGCAAAACCGCTGCTCTCTAGTTCAAAACTTTTCCTCCCCTCCCCTTACCATTTCCATTCCCTTCCCCCTTTCGGTGCATCTGCCGCAGCAGTCTTTTCTTGGTAGCAGCTTCACTCGCTCGTGGTACGTCTTTTCCCCCCCTTCCCCCTTCCCCGTCCCGTCGTCCTCAGGAGATCTCAGCGTGGCTCGGGGAGGAGGGCGATGGTGGGCTCAAGTGCCTCGCCCAGGCCCCACAGAACCGTACGGCTCTGAAGACCGAACCGTCCGTCCGAATCCTCATGAAATCGGAGTACGAACACCCCTTCAGCTCCGAACAACCCCACGCGAAAACAGAGGAGCCGCAGGAGGAGCAACGGGGAGAAGCAGGAGACAAGACGGGCAACGACGGTCGTGGTGGCGGTGGTGGTGCCAGGTCCTGCACGCCATCGAGCGCTGGCATGCGAACATGTGCCATCGCTGGCTCCGAAACCCAAATGGTGGTTAAGTCCGAAGCGCGACCATCATCTGTTCATCCTAGGGGTGCTGCAGACCTTCTTGGTACTGGTGAAGGCGACGGTGATGGCAAAGGAGGAGAAGATGGAGGAGGAGGAGGGGGCGGAGGAGGAGGGGAGTCAGGGCAGGTGGAAGAGGGGAACGACGGGGGGTCACAGGGCAAGGTGGTGGAGGGTGGTGATGACAACAGCAGTGGTGCCCGGAACACGCGCGCCAGCGGTGGCGGCGGCGGCGGCAGCGGCAGTGGCATGGGCGGTGGCGGCGGTGGCGGCTCCCAGGGAAAGGGAGGTCTGCGAGCTGTGGAGCCAAACCGCCAGCGGTGCGAGGCAATGGTGGAGAAGGTGCGAAGGAGGAAGAGGCGGAGGAAGAGGAGGAGGAAGGGAAGGGAGATGGCGAAGGTTAACGTCATGCCCTCCAAGATGTACCTCCATACACCCCCTGGTCCCCCTGACACACACAACACACCCTCATTCCCCCAATCTCCCCAGATCTGTAAGCCGTACGGCGGACCGTTGCTGAGGTGGTTCCCAGTAACGCCCGAGATGAGTAAACCCGGGTACGACAAGCCCGACTGCTGCAAGGTGGGCCGGGTTGCTGGTTGGGAGGCGGTTTGGTGCTACGGCTTGCTATGGGTTTTTAACAGCAACAATCAGGTTTATTATTATTATTATGGCTCTCTACGCCAAGAACGCATAAAAATAAAAATCATTCCTACCCCTGTCTGTTGGGCCCACAGCGTTATCCAACCCCGCACATCCTCTATATCCTTACACAGCTCCGATTTGGAAGTCTTGCAGGATGTCCGCACGAAGAAGGGGTCCATCGGATCGTTTTTTAAGCCGGCTTGCAAGACCAGCGCACCTGCGGCGAAGGCGGAAGGCGCAGCAGCAGCTGGGGTGTCGCCAGGCCACGGCGCCGTTTCGCCTGCTGCTGCTTTTGCGGCCTCTGCCGCGGCTAATCCCGTCAGGAAGGGAGCGTCATCGCTGCCGCTGCTAAAGCCGCAGCCGGGGCATGGACTCGTCGAGGCGGCGGATGGGGTGAAGGTGGCGGAGGCGGGCAGCGGGCAGAAGCGTCAGGCGGGGCCACATGCAGATGGCGAGTTGTCCGCAAGGAAGCGGCGATAAGGAGACTGAACGGCAAAACTCGGAGCCTCGGGACTTCCAACTACCCAGCTATTAGTTACCTTAAAATGTAATTATTTCTCCGATTTTGTGTACCTGTTTTGACTGATGATGTTCGTCGTCATACAGCACCGTACTTTGCTGCGAATGTACGGGTGCCGTACTGCACTATGAACCCAGATCGCTGTGTGACAGGCTGTTGGAAAGTGACCGACATTCACATACACCAGAGAATGATGACAGCAGTAATAGGACCCGAGGGGGTCCGTGGCGCGTTGCTGAGTCTAACACAGCCTGCATTGTTATCGTCCTATTGTGGTTTCTGCGTTGTTCGTCTTAGTTGCGGTAAGGGTTGCTGGAGTTTTGGTAATTGTCGTTGTGGTGGTGGTGGTGGTGATGGCGACTGAACAGAACTTCGGTTGCGGGAGTTGCAGAACTTCGGTGCCAGGGAAGGAGGAAGGGAGGGAAGAGGTTGGCTGGATTGCTGACAGTCTCCCATGACTTGTTCGTGTTTCGCAGGACACAAATCCAATGGGACTAAAGTCCAAAAAGGACAGTAGGGTGTGGTGCCGAACGTTGCTGTGGTTGCTTGGGCAGGACTGGAGTTGTAAATGACCACACCAGACTTGCACCAGGACCAGGCGCAAGTCGGACTGTTAAATCCATAAGGCGGGCAGGATAGACTTTGCGCAAAGAAGGGAAAGCATGGCGCGCGTGACATGGCCCAGGGAAAGCATGGCGCGCGTGACAGCGGTTTGGAGGCTGACAAATCCCGGTTTAATATAGTTAGTAGGTAATGCATTACCTACAGGGTAATTGGAATTACTTATGATTGAGATTTTTTCGCGGATCTGCCGGTCGGTCAGTCTATCCCTATGCCGTATCAGAATGCTAAAATCTTGCCATGCAGCTAACTACATTTCCGTCCTGTTTACATGTGCTGCATCACTTGCCAGGCGTCAATTGACATAGGCTTTCCATGTCCCCAAAAGAACGCTCCGACAGACGGTGACAGTTCGATGACTTCATTGCGGTTCTCCTTCTTTATTGTATCTGGCAAGCAAAAAATAAAGCACCTAATCACACTTTTATCTACGGTATTCTATGATCACTGAATTTCATCTTGTCCAGGCCTTGTTTTAGGACAATGTGAGATGCTGTCGGACGACACCATACTGCTGCGCGATGACAGCGTTTCAGACGATTTAGACCTTCTTGACATCCTCAACAAAGATGGCGGGGTGCAACTTTACCTCCCCTCGCAAGCCGACAACTCCAGGCGCGTGAAGCACACAACATCCCCAGTAAGCTCAGGACCCCAGCAACTCAACACCACATCCACCAATCCACACCAGGCCCTCTCACGCTTCTTCATTCTACCTTCCAACAAATTGCAGCACCCATCGGTCTTCCCAAACTCGCACGCGGACTCACATCCGCATGGAAGGAGCATTGCGGAGCCCGCAGGGCATCCAAGTTGGAGCCAGGGCCTCGCCGCCGCCACACGTATAGCCGGGGGCCCTTCCCCCGGTGGCAGCATCCTTGACCAGCTGGGAAGAACCTCCATCCCAAATGAGGGCGCTCTCAGAGCCATCCTCCAAGCCTTGGAGGTCCGTGCCAGCGTTTCGCACCCAAAACCCCTACACACCCAAGGAAAAGCCCCCAACCCCCAACCCTCACACCCAAGCCGCTCCTTCACCCCCCTATCAGCACCAATCCTCCTCCTCCTGCACGCGCATGCACACGCAGGCAAGACTGGACCAGGCATCCCTTTCCCCGTCCAGTCGTACCACCTCATTGGATCTGAAAACTGCAGCTACGGCCGCCGCCGCCGCCGCAGCTACAGCCGCCGCAGCGAAAAGATCGGCAGCAGCAGCAGCCGCAGGGAGCCTTCGGAGGATGCCGAAGAGGTCCGGTCCGACCCTTGGACTAGGGCTGGGCTCGGGACTAGGCCCAGGCGGCACAGCTGCTCCCTCCCCGGGGCCGTTCTTGGCGGCGTCAGGACCACCGGTAGGGGTGGGGGTCCGCGGCGGAGGTGGTGGCGCTGGCGCTGGCGCTGGCGGGAAAAATGCAAAGAAGAAAAAAACAGGAGGTCAAGGAGGCGGCGTGTGTGGGGCCGCTGCGTTGCGCGGACGGGCCACAGCAGCGGCGGCAACAGCGGCGGCAACAGCAGCAATGACGGCGGCGGCGGCGGCGGCGGCGGCTCAGGGGATCGTGCACCGGGGAACGTGTTCCGCGGGCCGGGTCCTGACCAGCTGCGGGTGCAGGTGCGGGCGACAAGAGACAATAGATCGGCCTGGGGGGAAGGGGGCCCCCGCCGGAATGCTGTCATGTGCAAGAGCGAGCGGGGCGGTGTGCTGTGTGGGGTTTTGTCAGGCGGTTCGCCTCCTACCTACCTACCTACCTACCTACCTACCTACCTACCTACCTACCTACAAGAGTGTCGGCTGATGATGGGGAGGGAACGGACAAGTTGCGGACGGAAGGTGGCGGGACACGAAGGCATCCCATGCGCGAAGTGGTGACGATGCTGCGGTTTGGCGGGGGTGGGTAGAGGGGGGGGATTTCCCCCCCCCCTCCTCTCTTCTACCCGGACAGGGCTTTGCAGGGGCAACAAAACATCACAGCGGTGCCTTAACCCCCCTCTATTTCCCTCGTCCTCCCGCGCCCCTTCCCTACCCCTTTTTCCCTCCCCAGCCATACACACAAGTTATCATATCGCAACGCACGTCTGTCCAACCAAGTCCGCTAGCAAGCTGATATACGGCAGATGTGTCCCTTTAACCTGGAGAACGCGGCCTCTTTCCCCCCACACACCATCACCACCTGTGGTATCTGCTTCATTCGCCAGTGGTCCGTCTTACAACCCCCCTCACACACACACACAGACAGATACACCCCTGTCCCCGCCCTCCTTTCAACAGTCCCGCCCTCCCCCTCCTTCAACGCATCCCGCTTCCCCTCAACCTCCCACCTGCGGCCAGATGCCGCACCCGGCCCCAGTCCGGGACGTCACCATGCTTCCGCTGCTGCCGTACTGCCGCCGCCGCCGCCGCCGCGCCCGCGCGGCTCGATCCGGGTCCATACCCCCGCCCCTACCCCCACCACTCGCCAGCCCACGTGTACTCCTTTCCGGCCACAGCTGCCGACGTCGCGGGCGGCGGCGGTGGCGGCGGTGGATGCAGCGACGTCTGGCCGGGCGCGGTGGCTCCCGCCGCAGGGATGTCGCCCTGGGTTGGTGCGATGTCGGTGCCGGCGGGGTGCTACCCGGCCGCCGGTGGTGGTGGTATCGGCGGTGGCGGCGGTGAAGTTGGGGTTGGTGGTGGAGCCTGTTCGCAGCCTCCGCTCCAGACGCTGTTTGACCCGCAGGCTGGTTTATCCCGGAGTGCTCTGGTGGCTCGGTTGAAAGAGGCGGAGGTGCAGGTAGGGTGGGGTGGGGGGAGCGGAGTGGGGTTGCGGGTAGATGGGGGCGGTAGGTTGGTAAATAAGGCAGCCACACGGGGGGATAAGCCCGGGGGGGGATGGATGGGGATAACGGAGGCGGCTGACGAGAAAACCGAAAACAAACTTAGGCCAAGCCTATACATAAAAACGCACATACTTGCGTACTCACATACATACATGCATGCATGCATGCAGAGATTCCCACACACCTGGGAGGGGGCAACAGGGCTCCCCGGGTCCCCAGGCACTGCGGGTTTCCGTCGTTACCCGGGCAAGCTGCAGGCCACCGTAGTCCCACCACGGCGCAGTTCTACACATGTATGTATGTATGTATGTATGTATGTATGTATGTATGTATGTATGTATGTATGTATGTATGTATGTATGTATGTCGGACACGAGATAATGAACTCACATACACATACATGCACACGCACATACACACACAAATGCACATGCACCTGCCGTACCCTGCAGGTGACGGCCTTGCGGCGCTCCGAAGCCCTCGCGCGACAGGTGCGCGGCTGCGCGGCGTGTGCCTCTCCCCCCCCCCTTGACCTTGACTGGATTGGTAGCTGCACTTTACATCAGTCGCCTTTGGCCGGTTCCTAGGTTCCTCCTCCTTCTCATTAGAGCTCATGGGTTATCAAGGTAAACAGAAGGCACCGGATGCTCTCAGGGGGGGGGTGAGCCGGGGGGGGATTGCGGCGGGAGCGGTTTGTTGCGTGTCAAATACACAGTGTCCGAGAGTGAAGAGGGGAATCTGTGTTCCTCGACCGGGAAGGGGCCGTCCCCCTCCCCGCCCCCGTCCCAATCACAGATTCTAATGGGGACGGGGAGGGGGAGGGATCCCTCCCGGCTCTTTGCCTGGCACCTCCTTCAGCTCACGGGTAGGGCTGGCAGCAGCAGTGGTGGTAGAGATCTCTCGGTTCGTCAGATCCAAACCCGGGGGACCCGCCCCTCCCCCTCCCCGTCCCCATCGCAGCGGCATCTGTGGTTCGTCGTCCCCACTTCACCCTTTCCATATTTTACCTGTCCTCACTCCCGGGGCCCCGTCCTTCACCATTTCCCCCGTCCAACTCCGTTCCAGCGCTGCGAGTACCTGGCGGAGAGTGTTCGCGCGGGGAGGAGCGACCGCGGGGCGGCAGCTAGGCAGGCGGAAGCAGCGCGCAAGCTGACCGCACAACACGGTACGGCACGGGTAGGCGTGCATGTGCGCAAGTGTATGTGGGAATGGGGGGAAAGAGGGAGAGGAGGAGGGGGCCCGGGGCGGGGAGCGGAACAGCTCGGAGGGTTGAGGTGGTGGACGAGCACCCGGGGTCGCGTCCCTAAAGCAAAACACCTGTAACCCTCCTCCTTCACTCCCCCTCCCCCTTTCCCCCCCACACGTGCGGGTCCCTACCCCCGCTGCTCCTTCCTCCCAATGCGTTTGTTACTCTCTTGCCCTGGCAGCAGCTTCAATCGTGTGTGGTTCGTCTTTCCTCCCAACGCCCTCCCAATGCCAGAGGAGGAGCGGCGGCTGCTTCAGCGGCGAGCAGAGAACTTGTCCGTCTTCTTGAGGAAGGAGAAGGAGGCGCGGGAGGTGGGAGGTGGGGTGGGGGGACGGGGGGACGGGGCTTGGAGGTGGGGAGGGGTAAAAGGCGGGGCAGCAGTAGGAGGTGGGGCTCACCACGACCATGAATATGACCATGACCATAGCGAGGGCGAGAGCGAGAGCGAGGCCCGCGGGCGATACGAAAAGCAAGGTAAGCAAGGAATCACTTCCTGACGCCTCCGAAGGCCCCCTCCCCCCTCCCCCCTCCCAGGTGGTGGATCGTGAGCTGGCCACAGAGAGGCAACGTAGCAGCTCCCTTGCCGTACAGCTGGCGGGGGCACACCAACAGATGAAACACATGCAGGTATACGGGGAGGGGGGGAGGGGGGGGAGAAAGGGGGCCCGGCGCCAGGGGCCGGAGGAGGAGGGGGGAAGGTGCTGTAGGGCCTAGGGGCCCCGTGGGTGGCGGCACCCCTGCACCCCCCCGCATTGCCCGCCTGGCCCCCCTTTCCGGTCAGTCCCTGTACCGCCAACCGGGGGTGGGACCCTGGGGGGTGTCTCCGTTTGCTGTTGGGTCGACGGCAAAAGCAGGAAGCAGCAGCAGCTTTCTAAAAGGAGAGAGAGAAAGAGAGAGAGAGAGAGAGAGAGAGAGAGAGAGATGTTCTTGCTTGGTTACCGTCACCCCCTCCCTCCCGCTCCCATTCCCTCCCTCCCCCCCTCATGGCCTTCCGGACTTCCCCTCTCACCGTCTACCTTCCCCCCCTTCCCCGGCCCCTCCCCCCCTCCCACTGCCCCCCCCCCAGGACCTCCTGGATGAGGCCCGGCAGCAGTACCGCCACTTCCTGGATGTGAATAAGCAGGTCGGGGGGAGGGGGGGAGGGC